ATATTAATGACTTACACTTCATACTAAATTAATTTTATTTCTGAACGCTTGAGAACCATCAAAATTAATTTATCTTCGTTTACATATTATCATATTAATGTTTCGTATATCCTACTAATCAATGCTTCGTTACCCTCATTTGAAATTTTGAACGCTTTGGCGCCGTCTTCAGCTTGCTCTACCTTCGCTCACTGTCTTCTCTAGTAGTTTTGTCTCTCCAAAATTTCTGGTAAGTTTGTCTCTCCAAATGCTTCGGTATATCGTTTGTTTTTACCAGCATTTACTCCCCTCGCATTGCAGGTTTACTCCAATTATTTCGGTGTTTTCAACTTATATAACGTTTCCTCAATAGATCCTCTGAACTTGTTGCATTTCTGCTTCAAGAAAACACCAAACATAAGTCAAAGGGCCAATTAGGATCTACTCTAGATGTCGGCCCTATTCTCAAAAACTTTTCTTGAACAACATACCTACCACCAACATTAATTGACCAGATACATGATTTTAAAGCGCTTATGTGGTTTAGCTGGCTCCCCAATCCAGGCTGGGGTAAGTCTAGATTTGCATTGCATTAGCTAGGTTTGGGTCACTGATTTTCAATACCTAATTTAGACTTAGGATCTGAGGTATGCTCAAGCTATAAGCCCTCAACCTCTGGGAATTGAATCCCAACCTTCTAATAAAATTGGTCACTCAAACTTAAATTTCTTTCAATCAAATTCAAGCCCAACACTTAGGATAGGCTGAGGTGTTTCTGAAGTAATTCAGAATCTCAAAACAACTCATACCCTTCTTCCTTTGATTCCATAAATAAGTGCTCAACATTGAATCATTCCCGATTGATATTTCCAATTCTTACCTCCTTTGACATCGAGCATTGAAATCTTAAATAGAATTTCTACCACTATTTTAATTGAGAGTTTTCGTATGAAATTCTAATTTCCTATGATGTAATTAATTACGAGGGCTTGCGCTCGTAGGAGATTTAGAAACCCAGACCAGATTCTCAAAAATTAAACTTTTCAAAAACTTCAATTAATTATCTTTGGGAATTTAAACAAAAAAATGGCGATCATTATTATCATATTCGAATAAGCTGTATTTTCTTCCTCCGGGGAGATATATCAGTCATTGATATGAATTCGAGTATGAAATTAATGATACTATATCTAAATTATCATAGTTAAATATTTGATTGAACGTCATTTTGATCCTTTTGGATCATATGTAGTTCTCTCCCAAATTTGACTATGATATTCGGGATTAAATCTGTAATTCTAATCTAAACCCATTTGGAGATTATATTTTTAACTTTTGAGGTAATATATCATCACTAATGGATGTTTGATTTCATAATTAAAATTTAAATATCAATTTCAAATTATTACCAAAGAAAATTAATATTTTTCAAAACTATATTTTTCAATCAAATAGTTTGGCTGTGTATTCTTTCCCTGGCTAAAACCATATGCCCCCAATAAACTCACTCCCAGCTCTCATGCCGATCACACCGCCCTCCGCCTATCGTCTCCTCACAGCTCAATCATTTTCGGACCCATAGCTTTACCGCAAACTCGCCGGATCTCTCCAACATCTATCTATCGCACGTCTAGATATTGCATTTGCAACGAAAGCCATTTGCCAAAACATGCATTCCCCCACCGAACATCACTTTCAAAAGCTTAAACTTCTTCTCCGTTACATCAAAGGAACCCTTAACTACGGACTACCACTTCCACCAAGCAATTTCCAACTCACATCATACTCCGACGCTAATTGGGCAGCCGATCCAACCGACATGAAGTCAATTTATGGGTTATGCACATTTCTCAGATCCAATCACACAACCCACAATTGCTAAGTCCTCGACTGAAGCAGAGTACTGCTCCCTAGCTGCGGCAACCTCCGAAGTTTTATGGCTTCGTCGTCTACTTGAAGAATTTTAGATTCCGCAAGCTTCTCCGACCACCATGCACTGCGATAACACCTCCGCAATCGCACTGGAAAACAACCCAGTCTTTCACTGAAGAACAAAGCATATAGAGATCGACTTTCATTTCATTCAGCAACACATCGTCTCCGGAGAAATCCTCATCTCTCACATCAGCTTCACTGATCAGATTGCAGATATTCTCACCAAAGCATTTCATTCAACCAGATTTTATGATCTCCGCAACAAATTGGCCATTCAGCCTGAATGGTCAATTTGAGGGGGGATGTTAGGACCAATTACCATTGTACACGTGTACTAGCCGTTTCTCTTCTTGAATCCTTAGCTCTATTTATATCCCTGTAACCTTAACTCTTTCTACATGAACTAATTTCTCTTTCTTGTTCTCGTCTTCCCGTTATTTTCCTTCTCCGGCTTTGGGTCTTTCATTTTAGATTCCTCATTTGAGGACAATTGAGTACAAGAGAAGGAGATTAGTAAGGACTCGTAAGACAGTTCATTTCTGCATCTCTACTCTTTTGACTTCAAATATTAGGTAATGAATTTATCCATATTATTTTAATTGATATATTACAACAATCAGGATTTTACTCTATACCATTCTTATTCTCTCAGGACAAGCCTGGAACGATGGCAATATTGATAGAATTGTGTTCTTAATATTTACAGGTAGTACGAAACTATTTGTTTTGTATGTCAAAAATTTTCAAGCTCGAGCATTTTAGGTTTTGTGTGGGCTGATTTTGTTTATGCTGCTTAAAATAATTTTTTAGTTTAAAATTTTTAATTTTTATTAATAATGCTAAATTAAAATAAAGAATTATTAATAAGTAATTTATTAACAACTTAAATACAATAAATCTGTTTTAATAATTAAACAATAGAAAATACTAATATTTTTTAATTAATGTTTTAATTAATATATTTTTATCTAAATTATTTAAGGCCAAATTTTCAGAACAAGCACGGTTGCAGCCGTATTTAGGGGAAAAAGTTTAATCGGGAAACAATTTTAAAAAGAGCAAAAACGCGGATCCTTTTGGCGCATTCATTGAATGTGCCACTTAAGAACACACATTCAAAGAATGCGCTGAACTGTTCAGCGCATTCAAGAATGCATTGAACAAGTCAGCTCATTCTTTGAATCGTTGCACTGTTCCGACTGCTGCGTTGTTTCGTTTGTCTGGCTGATGCAACCGTGTTAATTTGTGCATTGACGTAATCATTGAACTGTTTTAAGTTATGATTGCCAAATGAAAAATTTTTTGTTTGTCAAATGAGAAGAAGTCATTTTAGGCCGTCATTTAATGTGTTTTTATTTTGTATATAGGAATTAGATATATTTTTAAAATATTTAGTCGTAGAGGGAGATATATTAAATTTTTTATATTTAAAAGTTATATTAAAAATAATTATATTTAAAAGTTATATGTGATGTACAATTGAAAATAAGGTAAAATTGATTTAAAATTTAGTTTAAAATAGAGGTTAAATTATAAAGTATTTGTATTTCGATATAAATTATTATTAACACACTATTTGTAAACTAAATTTTAAATCAATTTTACTTTATTTTCAATTGTACATCACATATAACTTTTAAATATAATTATTTTTAATATAACTTTTAAATATAAAAAATTTAATATATCTCCCTCTACGACTAAAAATTTTAATTTTTGTTGCTTTTATTTTTTTTATTTACTAAAAATATGCCTTCTACGACAATTTTAAAAATTTATTTTGTTTACAATAGTTTTAAGAAGTAATAAGAAAATCGTCTCAAAAGAAGTCTAAGATTTTATTTGGAATAACTTTATTTCTAATTTTTTAGTACTAAAATTTTTAATTTAAAAAAAATTATTAGAAAACTACTTTATTAAATAGTAAAAAAATTTATCAAACAAAACCTAAATTATGAATAATATCAACTGTTAAGTTAATATATTTTTAATTAGGTATCATTACTTATTAAGATTAATTAAAATAACCAGTTTAAACTATAACCCTTCCTCCTTCACCCCATCCGCTCTAGCATAAAACTCCCCAAACCCTTGACGCAAAGAAACCGCGATCGGAGCTAGCCGAGGAAAGCTTCGATGGTAACTGTGGTGTGTGTAGGAGAAGAGGAGTTCGAGTCCAACGTGAATTTAAGATAAATCCGTTGAATCTAGGATTAAGTAATAAATCGGGATGGGCAGAAACAAATTTTAGAGCATCTCAAATGGAACGACAAATAACTGTTTGTCATTCTTCCTTCGTTTTAATTGAGCGGTAATTTTTACGTCATTTCGTCACGAATGAAAAGTGTGATGACAATATTTACGTTGCACTGTTCATCTCCGCCATTTTTTGGTCTCTATCGAACTTGCTGAAGAAACGCGCGAATGACCGTTATAGGTAAAATGGCGTTCCATTGGAGATGAATCACGACATTTTTTTAGTTTCACGGCATTTTCAAGTGAAAAATGTGATTTTCGGGTGGAGATGCTCTTAAAGACTGCTTCCTTGTGGGTGCCAAATCGTCCCCATTGCTCCTAAGGAGGTGTTTGGTATCATATTGGATTCAATTTTAGTGCAATTTAGTAAATCTTGTAAATATGAATTTAGTAAATTTTGAGGTTGATAAATCTTGAAAAGTATTTGATATGATAAATGTTAAATAATGTTAAATCCTAAAAAGATGTTTTACAATATATTATAGGATTTATGATAGTTAAAGATTTAAGTGTGAAGAAGATAATTATAAATTAAAAATTAAATTTATAATTAAAAATAAAAATTAATGTGTTATGAGTTTAATAAATTATTAAGTATAAATTACTCATTAATTATTATTGACACTATTAAGTATATATTAATAATATATATTTTAAGTTATATTAATTAAGATAATTATTCAATTAAATTAATTTAGATAATTAATATATGCACTAATTATTCTATTAATTATTTAATTAATTTACCTAAGTATTCATATTTAAAATTATTTTAATTAAGTTAATCAATAATAACTTAGAGGCGTCTAGGGTTTACGTTTCATTTTCTCTTTTCGTTGTTGCTGTTCTGCTTCGTTTAGGGTTTAGAAGTTGGTGTACACGCGTCACTTCTTCGGCTCCGTCGTGGCTGTTCGACTTCGCTCAGTCGACAACTTTCCCTTCTGTCAGATCGGAAGTTACGACATTTTGATCGGAAGCAACAACGGGAGGTCGCTTTCTGTGAAGGTAACTTTCTCCCTTTCGCGCGCTTCTTCGGCCAAATCCAGTAAATCCGCCGAACCGAACCAAAGGATTTCGTAAATCCGGGATTTACCACGAAAAGAGGGAATTTTCCGTCAACCGCAGCTTTGATTTACCGTCAGATTTGGTTTTCATTTTTGGCCGTTTGGCTGGATTTAGCTCAAATCCGCTTCAAATCCATTCTAAATCCTGCATCCAAACAGCCCCTTAAAATTGATGTCAAATCCGATACAAAACACCCCCTAAAGGCCTTACGTTTTCGTCACCGCCTTGCCTTGCCGCCATGTCACCGGCGGCTATCGCCGGTCAAAATACGAAGTTAAGAAGGGATACGAAGAACATTAAGAAGCGAAAGAAGCAGGAAGAAAAATCCAACGCATCCTTTCTTATTACCAAGGACGAGATGAAAGAAGAGAGGAAGAAGAAGAAGAATAATAAGAAGGCGAAGCTTCAAACGGAGAGTAATGAAGCCTCAACGGCAGAGGTGGACCTAGGTGAATCTATTTCTTGGGTCACGCAGATTAAAGATAAGAATCATAAGAAGAAAAAGAACGAGGGCGAGGAGGAGGTAGGAAAGAAAGAGAGGAATAGCAGTCTTATCACTGATGTTCGATTTGCACCGGCGCAGTTGGATCCGCGTTTCCAGCGTATGCCAAAGAGAGAGGCGAAGGTCCCAATCGATTCACGGTTTGCGCGCATGCTCTCTGATCAGAGCTTCACGTCGTCTGTGGCGCCAGTGGACAAGAGGGGAAAGCCGAGGAAGGGCAAGAAGGTGAATCCTTTGTTGCACTATTATCTCCATGAGAAAGAGCCTGAGGAGGATGCAGAGGTGGAAAAAGAGCTGGCGGGGGAGGAGAATGGAGAAGAAGTTTACACTTCTTCATATGTGGGTACTGATGAGAGTAGTTCTACCACCAGCGATGAGAACGACGACGATGACGACGTGAGTTTCCTTAAAGCTATTAGTACATAGAATTTACTTCCTTGCTTGTTCTGCTTGTTTTCCTTTTTAATTTCCGTCTCTGCTGGTTAGGTTTGCATTTCCGTTTTGTGTTTTCAGCTCAGTATTTACTTGAACTTGGAATCGCCTATCTAAAGTTACTCAATTTTATGATATATATAAATGGAATTAACGTTAGCATTCATTTGGTTCTTCTTTTATTTCTGTATTTCCTTTTGAAACATCTTTTTGGCAGTTTTCCAGCCTTAGTTCAGTTCAGATCTTTATTTCTTGTACATCTTTTAGTTTTGTTTCTTCCCTGCTAGATCTAAGGAATGACAACTCTGTGCAAATTTTTATTTCAGCATTAATTTTTCATATGATGTTCTAGCTGCATTGGGTTTGTTGGTTGGGAAAAACACAAATTCATCTTGGCATCAGAACAAGCTCATGTTTTGTTTGATTATTATTGATGATAATATCTATTTTTTCTTTCAAGCCAGGTCATTTTGATTCATCACTCAAGTTTTATTTTCATTTGTAGTATTCTGTGAATAGTGACATTTGTCGGTATCTGATGGCTAACCATGAGGATACACCAACAGTCGAACAAGAAACTCACAGGCTGGCGATTGTTAACATGGACTGGGATCACATTAAGGTATGAAAGAAGTTTATATTTTATGTAAAATCCAAGCTTTCATGTCATTCTCATTGTGTGAATGTTCCCTAATACTGGTAAAAAAAGTTATGTCTTTAAATGTCAGTTCCATGAATTAATAGCTTTAACCGTAGTTAGTTCTATTGATTAAATTACCTTTCAACACCTCATTAATTGGATAGTAGTTAGAAGATAAACTAAAAAATACTAGGAACTAAAAATGATTGAATTGCGTTAAAGCAACTCAATGAAGAATTTCACGAAGAATTGCTTGATTTTAGTATATCACTAATTAGGCATAAAATCATAAATAGATCACCTTATAGATAGAAATCCTGCATCACACTTAAAAATCACTGTTGGAATTGAATCTTAAAAACCAAAGGGAGAGGAAAACTTGAATTGCCTCTCTAACTTCTTAGAAGGCATATTTTATAACCAGGGTAGCTTCCCAACGGGCTGGCTTGCAAATCCTATATGGAACTCTTCCTTCAGCTAGTCTTACTTATAGGGGAACTGGGAGACAATTTCGTTCTTTCATTATCTTTTATATATCATCCCTTTCCCATCTTTATTGTAGAACGTGGTACCGAGACTAACATCTCCACTGTTGAGGAGGTGCTAAGATTACTAAGCAAAAATAGTCTTGCTGACTAGTTCTTGACCTGTAGATGTAAAGCACTAGATGATTCAAAGGAGCTTTATGATTTGATCAGACTCATAGGCTTAACAAAAGAGATTGAGATTTGCTTCACTTAGAGAATCACTAGTTAATTTGCCTTCTACTGCAAACATTATTTCATCCTTTTTGTGTGCTTTGTAGATTAAGTAAACTTTCTTTGTTTTTGTGTCCTAGTGATAGCATCTCTATAGTGCAGTGCCTCCCCTAGTATATCCTGGAAGATTGACCAAAAAGCAATAGCTGAAGATAAAGAAAAATCAATAGTTAGAAGATAAACCAAAAAGTCGCTCTTGTAGATATTAAAGTTGATTCAATTTTATTAAAAAAAATCTTACTATTAAGCAGTTATTTAACTTAAAAAAGAAAACTACAAGAGATAGCACCTAGAAGTTTCATTTTTCCATTTCAATCATATAACAAGATGTATCAAGTTTAGTATATGACTATTATACTAAAGTCTGATAGGCACCATAAAATTTATAGGAAAACAATATCTATTTATACTACAAAAATTATGATCCATCTCAATGCATCAACTAATCAAGTATCACATCTAATTAAAACACAAGGTAACTAACTCAAAAATAATTTTAATTAACCATACAAGTGCAGTAGTAAAAAAAATGCACATAATTTTTAGTAAATCCTACAGGCATACAATTTGACATTCTTTGGCACTTTGGTTGTACCCTTGGCTTCCTAAAGTAGTTGACCATATCATTTATTATTAACCTCTATCATTTATTAATGTATCATCAAACAATAATCCTCCTAATTGATCCCACCATATCAATAAACCAAAGAATGCAACTTGCAATGATCGAATTTAACCAAATAAGAGTGTTGTCAAGAGTACCTATTTTTAAAATTGTTTAATGATTATATATTACAAAATATAGGTGTCTATATAAATAACTTTCAAAGCTTATCGACATCCAAATAGCCATAGCTAAATTTGGATTATTCATATTGGGACTCAACAAACATTTATCAAGTCAGTTAGCTTGTAGTGTTACTCCTACACTGTTCATATGTTCTATATTCTCTCATATCAATATGATACCTCTGCTAAGACTACAACTTTTATTCATTGAATCTTGGATATTATTTATTTTTCATGTCTTCTTACTATGCTTTTTTATACTTGATTTTTTTTATTTGATACAGATTGATATATAGCTTATTAAAGTAGATCATATTAAAATTATACTTACAGATTTATTATAAGAAGTCATAAGATGGATGTATTTTACTTGATTGATGAACAATTTTACTTTGCGCTGTGTATGCCACCATGGAAACTCAATACGCTTCACATTGCTATTCAATTTTCTGTGTTTTTTTTTTCTTGAAACGTGTCTGCATGAATGAAAAGCTAATGGGTTAACCCAAACTTGATGGTAATTCATTGGACTATGAATTTTCCTTCTATTTTCTTTAGTTTTTTTTTTTTTATCTCTTGATCAAATTATTTTTTTATTTTTATTTGCATTGGTTTGCTCATCACTTTTTTTTTTGTTATGCTCCCACAGTATAATCCCTGGATAAATGTAGAAGAAATTGAAAAAAAGTAAATATGTTTCATGTAAAGATGGTGTCTCAGCTTATGCTTTTATTTGTTGATTGCATGTGTGATCTCTGAACTGAATTTTTTTAGTCTATAGCCAACAACTCTAGATTTGATTTGTTCTCTATTTGATTAAACAAGATGACTGAATCATTCTTGTGTGTAATTCCCATACACTCTTTGTGTATCTAATATTGCTGCCCTTCTGCAGTCTGTTGATCTATATGTTGTAATGAGTTCATGCCTTCCAAAAAGTGGCCAAATTTTGTCAGTAACCATATATCCATCTGAGTTCGGGCTCAAGTGCATGGAAGTTGAAGCAGTGCGTGGGCCAACATGTCTCATTCGTGATGATGAAGAAATAAGTGAGGAGGAACCAGATACCGAAGTCATTAATGAAAAACTACGAGCATACGAAATGAACAAGCTAAGGTTTTTGGATGGAGAACTTATTTCTAATAAATCTTGTTTATTATGTTAGCATATCATCATCCTAGAGCTCTGGTATACTTATCAAAGTTTTTGTTTTTAATGTTCTAGGTATTATTATGCTGTCGCTGTATTTGATTCAAGTGCCACTGCAAATCATGTTTACAACACCCTTGATGGAACTGAGCTTACTAGAACATCAAATGTATTTGATTTGAGATTCATTTCCGACTCTATGGAATTCAAACATCCTCCTCGTGATGTCACAACTGAGGTGCTGTAATTGCATCTATATGTTTATCTTGAATTCTTGAATTCATAATTGATTTCTGTACATATCCTCATATTTTTCTTTGAGTTTTCTTTTACTAAATTGTTGGATTTAGGCGCCAACAAGTTACAAGGAACCAGACTTTCAAACTCGAGCACTGCAGCACTGCAAAGTCAATTTAACTTGGGAAGATGATGAGCCCCAACGAGTTAAAACATTGAGGCGAAAATTCAATTCTGAGAAGGTTGGTTTTGCTATGTCTTCTTAGGTATATGCGCCAATAAAATTGTTTAGTATTTACATAATTGTTTTGGGATTCACATTATACTTGCATGCAAACTTTTGTTGCTTTTTCAAATATTATATTATTTGTTTGTTTATTCAAGTTGTATGAACAAGATACATAGAAAGAGTGATGAAACAGAAGCTTGAATAAAATTATAACCAATTAATTATCTAGAGGAATCAATTTTATTTTATGCTAAAAATATTTAATTATTAAGGAAATTATCATGCAATAGCAATTTATGATATATATATAGTTAACTTGAGTGGGGTAGAAATGAGAATATTAAGAGGGATATATGAGAAAATAAAAAAGAATAAACTAAGGAATGATTGCATTGGAGGAACAGTTGGAGTAATATCATTTGAAGTAAGTTGAAAATAGAATTACGAAGTTTGGACAGTGCAATGCAGAGCAAGGAAATGCACCCATTATGTAGGCAGATAAAAGTAGTATTGAAGAATTAGCATAATAACCCATCTCAAAATAGCAAGGTTAACTAAACTTTTAATTTGGTTTTGGTTAAAGAGGATATCATTGATGATAATGCTCTTTCCCTGCCAGCTATAAAAACATCCCATCTTAAGCACTCGGACATTATCTCCTCCTTTCTTCATTATTCTGCTTGATGCCACCTCCACCTCCTTGCCCAGTTGTCACCACCTTTAGCTATCTCTCGAAGCCTTCACTGTCCGTCTGTCCCCATTTTCGGGCTTCTTCTTTCTCTTCTAGCTCCTTCACCATCTCGTCCCTTTCCCTTTAATGAAAGAAACATAGAGAGGAAGAGATGACGAAGACAAGGATGTTTCTTTTGATACTAGTATTTTGGAATGCCATGACTAAACCAGTATTGAGGTAATGGATGCACCCTTTTAACAGTATCATTGCCCCCAGTAAACCTTGATTTTGAATTTAAGATAATTGTCCATTTGATCTCTTGGGTTAGTTACTTTCGTCAACCTTTTCAAGCAATTCATATTGAGCCATCCATTATTCTCAATAATTAATTCTGGTTATATTATCAAAGGCTGACGACTCAAAATTATATAAGTTTTCTATTAAATATCTCTTAATTCTTTAGTCTTTGATAATCAATCTTTGGAGATAAACTATTTAATAGTATTGAGATTAATTATAGTTTTGGGAACTTAGAAGGCCTTTATGTAATGAACTTGTAGGACTTCCAAGGCATTTCTATGGATACTCTTGGATAATTTATTGGTTATCCACAATGAGGTTCACAAACCGATTTGATGCGGTTATTCAACCTATAGGGTTTATTCAACTCTATAGGGCCATTGAACCAAAATCAAAGGTCTTTTGGGTAATTTCCATGATGAATCCCAGTAATAGACTAGTTATCCGTTTTGGCGTTTGATGAAATCATCCTTGATTTAGTATACGGCCTACCTAAATATTTGAGATAAATCTATGATGATGCTTCTTGTAGGAGTTATTTATTTATTTATTTTATAAGCTTATTCATGCAGTTTGTATGTTTTGTTGTTTTTGCTCAAATTCGAATGCAGCAAATGATACAATATGCGATTACCAGTTGTAATCTTATTGTGCTATACCTTTACAATGCATGATTCCCTTAACATGCCTTGATGATATTGCCACTCAGTTTCTTTTAAAATAATGGTTTTTTTTTTTCCTATGAGCCCCACTTCAAATCCTCTACTAGATATGATTTCTCCTGATTCGAAATCTAGGCTTAGATTCCTACTACGTTCTTATTCATATTCAAATATTTCAAGTGGCTGATTCTCATTAACTGATGCTTCCCCTCATTTTCTGCTGTAGCTCGATGATCTGAATGAGTACTTAGCATCAACTGATGACAGTGATGAGGATCATGGAGATGTAGAAAAGCTGCGAGCTCTTCTTGAATCCAACAAAAATTCTGATACAGATGAAAGTAAAAATGATAAGGACATGGAGATCACCTTTAATACAGGCCTCGAGGATCTAAGCAAACGTATTCTAGAGAAGAAGGACAAGAAAATAGAGACAGCATGGGACCAAGTTCTTAGACGGCGAAGCGAAAAGAGAAAGGCGAGGCAAAACAGGTCCAAATACTCATCTGACGATGACTCAAGTGATTATGATGTTAAAGAAGCATCAGAGCAACCAGATGATTTCTTTGTCGAAGAATCTTTGGATGCTAAAAAAATGGTTTCTAAGGATAGGATGAAACTTAAGAAGGGAAGAGAAGTTTCTCAAGAAATAGAGAAGGAGCAAGAAGCAAGTAGAGCAGAATTAGAACTGTTATTTGCTGAAGACCAGGACATAGACAAAGGCCCCAAGGGTTACAACATGAAATCCAAAAAGGCCAAGGGAAAGAAGAGTAAAGAGATTGCAGCAGAGGAAAAGCTACCAAATGTGGATTGTTCAAATGATCCTCGGTTTGCTGCACTTAACACTAATCATCTCTATGCATTGGATCCCACTGATCCACATTATAAGAGGTATATGTTGTTCTTAACTAGTCAAATGTGATCTCATAGGCTTCGTTTGAGACGTCTTTTTTATTGCTTCTTAAAGCAGTTTTTTAGTAGAAAATTTTTATTTTTTTGTACTAAAAAGTTGCTTTAAGAAGAAGCGGTAAGAAAGCCATCCCAAACGAAAAGCCATAGCCTCTAAAATTTCTACTTCAATAAATTTAATATTGTTGAAATGCTTTGGTTTTGTTATTGGGTTTTACAGAAGTGTAGCTTTTGCCCGGAAGCAAACGCAGAAGCAGATTGGGTCAAAAGAGAAGGATGTGGATGATAAGATTTTTGAAAAGAAAGCTTTATCGAGCGCAGATGACATCGAATCGGTGAAGAAACCGGTGCTGGGGACACAATCGGAGAATGAAAAACATGAGTTTTCTTCCATGATTAGGTCTTTGAAGAGAAACATTGGAAATATGAAGAAGTAATGGTGGATGCAGAAGCATTTTTATCTTATGGCTTTCGTAAACAAGATTATAGCTTTTTTGCAGGCCATAATTCAAGACAGGTTTTGTAACAATTAGGTGAGATTCGAGTGGTTTGAATATATAGCCGTTATTATCTATATTCAAGTTTATGTATTGTTAACAGTTTAAGTTATGAAACTGGATAAAGAGTTTTGTTTTCTGAGATTCTGTAGGTTTTTGTAATAAAATATCTTTAGAAAAATAAATGTACGGTGTATCTTTAGAAAAATAATTTAAGTATTAATAGATCTAGTGGGCGTTGTGACTTTGGGCAATCAAGTTATTAATAAGTATATGTTTTATGTATGTCGAGTTTATTGCTTAAAGTGATGGTAAAATAAATGCGGATATTATTAGTATAATTTAAGCTGGATGGTTGAAGTGGAGGAATCCATCGGGCCTGTTGTCTGATAGAAAAGTACCCCTCAAATTTAAGGTAAAATTTTATAATGGTGGTAAGACCTATAATGCTTTATGACACAAAATGTTGACCATGAAAAGAGGCATAAAATTAAGTGTTGCAAAGATGAGGATACTCAGGTGGATAAGAATTTGACTCTTAATACGATATAATAGAGAAAAAAAATTTATATAGCCGCCCCATATAGTGGGATAAAGATTCGATGTTCTTCTTGTTGTTATTATATTATCAACATTCTTTGTCATCAATAACCCCATTGGTCACCATCATGACCATCACTAGCAATTGCTGTCATCGCCTCAATCACCTGTCGCCCTCTTTTTTTTTTTTTGTCAAATGCTGATATTATTTTGCTAACAAAAGCCATTGATGTCATTTAAATAAAAAAATATATTTTTTATTTTATGAGAATATATAAATGAAATGAAAATTTAAAAATTTCCAACTAGCATCTAAAAATTTGTATTTTGACATCCACCAATCTTTGTTTTCTTTTTATGACGTTGTCAACGCCATATCTAATGCCCTTTTCCTTTTCGGCTTTTCCTATTCAACCAAAAGCGCGGCCAAGATGTTGGCGTTGTCGTAGGAAAACATCCTATGCAACAACAAGCCATGAAACATGATTTATAGCCCAAAGATATACTTTAATATTTGTGCTAATCACAAATGAGATCATCACCTTTGACGACGCTGTGGTCGCATAATACTCGCATCATAGACCATCGTGTCCCGGCGTCAAATCCTCCACATTTAGAAAATAGACGGTTGATCTCGCTTGCGGTCGCGACATTGGTACAGCCGACCGCCCACCCCCCCAACGATCACGTGGTACATGTTCTGGCCGACTTGCTTGACGCGTTGGACGGCTGCAGCTGAGTAATTCGTAGAAAATGAAAATCTTTTATATTCATTATTTAATAAATAATTAAATAAATTCGAAAAAATTTTATAAATGAATAAATTTAGCATGAGACTTTGTTTGGGAATGTTTTTTTTTTATATATATTTACTTATTTATTTGAGACTTTTATTTCTGTTTTTTTAAATAAATTTTTAGTATAAAATTAAAAATCATAAAAAAATCGCTTAATCTTCTCTCATACGATTTTTTTTTTCAATAAATAGTTTATTAAAATTTAAATAAAATATCTGATTAATGATAATTAATAGTTTTTATATTTATATATTTTAAAAATTATGTATTTTATTTGTTTATATCTCCTCAATTATAAAGCTTGCAAGTAATTTCCTCTGTTTCCGTTCTTTAATAACGGACGAATATTCTTTCCTATTCGCGCTGCATGCTTGCAGTTCTCTGATCGATCAGGCTACATAGAGAGGGAGAGAGGGGTGAAACCCTAAGTTTGAGATCTGGTGTCAAGCTGTGATCTACCGAGTGCTGCTTATTTAGAGGTTTGAGCGGAAGGGGCATTTTTTTTTGTTTCATTTCAAGATTTTTTTTTTTTTTTTTTTTTGGATTTTTTTTTATGTTGCATTTTCATGGATCTGTCGATGCTGTTTGGGATCGGGCATGATGTGGATGATAATGCGGGTAACTCCTGCGAAATCTATGTTCGTCTTTGCAATTATTTGTCTTTCCTTTTCTGCTTTTTTTTTGGATTTAGATGAATGATCGTGGCAGGCTTGGACCTTTTTCGGGGGTGATTTTCACGCCCTATAATCTAATTTCGGGTACAAAGTTGCTTGCTTCACTTGATCTGGAAAGATTGTGGTACGTTTTGGACTTTTTGAACGTAGAACTCGTTTGATAAAGTTGTGCTTATGTTTCCATTTTTTGCGTGGAATTAAAGAGGGAAAAAATGTGCTGCGGAGATTCCAAGGCTCTGTTTTGATTGGAGGAGAGTGAGATTACGAAATGAAATCCTGATAGTTTGCGTGTTTATTATGAGTCAACAACCATTGATTTGAGATTTTGAACTTCTTTTTCATTTCATTTTATTCATATGCCTTGCATCGGAACTGAAATAACTAAAATATCGAAGAAATATCGGGCATTATGTCTAAAAATTTAGAAATGTTGTATCTTGTTTGAGCCAGACATTCGGTTGAGCTGGACAGACGGAGATTCTTGTAATTAGTTTGTACTCATCAATGGTTTTCTTACAACAAAAGGAGAAGGCGATGAATTTCAAACCAGATTCTTTTCTCTTCCTTATGTCTACAACCCGAGCCTTGTATATTCTTCTTCTTCTTCTTCTTCTTCTTCTTCTTCTCTCTCTCTCTCTCTCTCTCTCTCTCTCTTTGTTTTTCTCTCTCATTTATTGAGTTTGCTAAGATCTTCCATGGCCTTTTGAACCGACTGAATTATTGGTTGAACTAAGTTAATATCTTCATCAAATGAATTCTTTGCCAAGAAAAATTACTCAAATTGTAAGAAATGAAGTAAGGATGTGCATTCTTTCGATGATTCAATTAACATGAGAATTTGATCGGTTTCAATTCTACCTGCGAACAACCTACCCAACCAAAAACTATCCTAGTTTGGTTTTGCTAAAAATTGAAATTTTGGGAACTAGATTTTGGACTTCTTAATTTCGAAATCCAATCTAAATAAATTGGATTAGGAATCCATCTAGAATCTAAAACTTGAATTATGGATTGGACTAGGGCCTATATTTAGATGTTTTAGGACAGTCTAGATCAAGAACCAAGAACTTTAGTCCATTTTTTATTGATACAACAACAACAAGCCTTTATCCCACTATGTGAGGTCGACTACATGAATCATTTTTCTCCATTGTGTATGTTAAAAGTAAAACTCTCCTTTTAATCTAATGAAAAAAATGTCATTTCTAAAATTTTCTAACCAAGTATGTTTAGGTATATCTTTAGTTCCTTGCATTTCTTAACATAAGTTAGATTTAATACATCTATATCCTAATCGTGTCATCAAAAGGACGACATTTTATGTGAAAAAAAGAAGGCGTAAAAAAGGGATGTAACACAAGTACTTCCCAGGAGGTCATCCATCATAGTACTACTCTCACCCAAGCACACTTAACTGCAGATTTATAATGGGATTCGGTGCACCGGTGCTGGTTGATCCCTGTGATAAAAAACTAAACAAATTAATGTCTAGTCAAGAATATCACTAGGATTCATTCTCAATCCGTCTTTTGCCAATAAGGATGTTGCACGTGTTCTCTAACCGATGGTTTTGCCGCCAAATGACACTATTGGTAAACAGTTATGACTTGGATCCTCTGACCGGGTGGTTTTGCCACAAAATGACACGATTATATTATGGTCATGGTTAGAGCTTGTATATTTCCCATGGACATCAAATCATTGATTAATGGATCAATAGGATATAATCGATATGGCACAAAGCCTTCTGTCAGCTAAGATGGATTCAATTTGTCCCCTTAGATAAATATCGCCCCAGTTCTACAAGTTACCCTTGGATGAAGCAACCCATAGCTGCCGACAATGATCCTTTTGTTAGATGGGTCGACTACCTCCTTTGACTTAGTAGATCAGAGACCACGATGTCCCGAGACGACGGAACCATTGGATTTTGATCGGGCTCATCATCATCCCCCCCACCCCCCACCATTCGTTTTATGTGCAAGATGGTGAAATTTTTAATTTTAAACATTAAATTTTCAAAAAAAAAAAAAACCCATACTGCTACTATACACCATATACTCAGTATCTGTTTGACGACTAGCTTTAATCAAAAGTTCTCTCTCGCATATTGGATTCTAAATAAGACACTATAGGGGCTTGCGCCTATAGAAAATCAAAACTCAAATCATAAAGTCCTCGCAAAATGAGGGCGAAATTTTTGGGTAGTGTCTTATTTAGAATCCAATATGCCTTCTGAAAATTTACCCCATAACCTATTCGTTAAAACTCTCATCGACGACTCAAAAAGGAAGGGGGATCTGCGAAGAGGCTGAGACGCGAATTTTCGGAGCCCACATCTATATATGATATTTATTGATTTTTAGAAAGTATATGATAAAGTTTCAAGAGAAGAGCTCTGGAGAGTTCTATAAAAGAAATGAGTCAATAATACTTATATTCAAGTCATTAAGGATATGTATGCATGAATTATTACTTGTGTTCAAATACAAGATAGTTTGACTGAGTATGTTTTTATTTATGTTGGTTGACATCAAGGATCAACATTAAGACCATATTTTTTTCCTTTATTCTTGGAAGTTCTTACTAGAGATTTATAAGAAGATGTGCCTTGGTGTATGCTTTTTGTTGATAATATTCTTCTTATTTATAAGACTAGAGAGGGAGTTGAAAAAAAAAACCTTGAATTATAGAGGTCAACCTTAGAGTTTAAAGATCTTCATTTGAGTATGTGTGAAATCGAATACATGGAATGTAATTTTTGTAGTAATAGATCTAGTGGGGGATTGTAGTTTTGGGCGATCATGTCATTAATAAGAATATCACGTTTTAGATATATTGGGTTTATTGTTCAAAGTGATGGTGAAATAGATGGGGATATTATTAGTAGAATTAAGTTGGATGGTTGAAGTGGAGGAATGCATCGAGCCTGTTGTGTGATAGAATAGTGCCCCTCCAACTCAAAATATTGGTCATTAAGAGAGAAGCATAAAATTAAGTGAAGTGTTGCAGAGATGAGGATGCTCAGGTGGATGAGGGGTTTCACTCTTAGAGACAGAATGCGAAATGAGTATATACATGAAAAGGTTGGAGTAGCTCCAGTAGCAAAGACTAGAGAGAGTCGCCTTAGATGGTTTGACACATAAAACGTCAACTTTCTGATGACCCGATTAGAATAATAGATGTATTGGATTTGACCTATGTTAAGAAAGGTAAGGGTAGACCTAAAAAAACTTGGCTAAAAATAATAGAAATGATGTTTTTTTTATTATTATTAAATTTAAATAAGAATTTGACGCATAACAATACACAATGGAGAAAAAAGATTCATGTAGCCAACCCCATGTAGTGGGATAAAGACTTGATGTTGTTGTTGTTGTATTCATTTTTATAGCAAGAAACATTAAGCCTTACTATATATTCATTAGGTGCATTACTCAAATTTAGTCTTTCCTATAGTATTTTATCTCAACCTAAATCTAGAAATAGGGGGTTAGGGGATGAGAACGGCTCACTGTAACCCATCTTGGTCAACTCAGATCATATTAGTTTGTACATTCTGGTTGCAATCTGTTTTAAATCTTTTAGCTTCACACTCTAAGCTCTCTTTCTCTCTAGATTTTTATCCATTCTTGTTGATAAGGCTCTATTGTCATTCAAATAATTTAAGTTCTAGCATACTATAAGGTGTTGGCTAAACAACTCTAAAGAATAGTGAAGTCGCCAAAACAAAGAGTTTTATTCGGTCATATGATTACTTCAACTTGCTTATGGACTTGGCCATGAACTTGACCTACTAAGTCGCCAAATATCCAAAGTTAATCGCCAGCTATAAAATAATCAACAAACATCTAGTGAATTTTTTAGAGACAATAAAGGAAGTCTTACTATATAATTTTGTGTTATTTAAATATAATATTTTCAAATATCATTGAATTTCGATCTTACCCTATAAATAGGGGGTCATGGGATGATTATTACATCTTTGCCTCATCTTGGTTTATCAAGTCATATCAATTTGTTGTTTCTGACAACAATTTAGTGCAAAGTTTAGAGCTTCTCTCTAAGCTCTCCTTCGTTGCACTCTTTTTTTATCTTTATCCATTCTTTTTATTAAAGTTATGGTTTCACCCTCATAAAATTTAGGATCCAACATGGATGCTATTTTGCGTTGCTTATATTCTCAGGCCTTTTTTTATCACGAACATTATAATAATAAATTTTCATAATTTATGCATGGTATAATATTTCAATGTCACCCTTTATACACTTTATATGACAATGAACATAACCTTTTTATTTTCCTTCTTGGCAGGCACATTTTGGTACTCTTGTAAAGAGCACATTGGTCAGCAAGAACACATTGAATAAGAAATTTTCTATATAGAAAGGTCATTTGCAGCAGTTGGTTACTTTTCAGTGATATGAATCTTGATGATGGGAACCCTTACATATTTTATATGGATTCCAATATGTTAGAAGGAGTTGGGGTTAATTATTTATCTCATTTATGTTCACTTGTGGATTTCTCTTTGCTCAATTCCAACCATTTAGTCAGTTCTGGAAGTATAGCTCTTCATGAAGCATTTAGTTGTGTTTCCAAGTTTGCTGGGGCTCTGTTTTTCTGGTTATCAACCAGTTCAAATTCCAGTAGTGGTCATAAAATGTCAAGAGTCGTCTCACGTGGATCAAATGTTAAAAATTATCAAGTTTGTCCCCAGATTAAGCATGTTACTTGTACGAACAAAATAAAAGGATTGCACTTCTTTTCTGTGTCAGATTTGCAATCTGCCATTCCATTGGTCTTTTCCAAGTTTGTTAATTCAACAACAAGGAAGCTGTGGAAAGAATTTGGACAATTTCAAGCTTTTCCTGTGCTGTCATTAGCTGCTGCTCTTATACCACCTTTTGAAAATCTGTAAGTTTTATTTTCCATGGCTCATCCAGTGAGATTTGTATACAACATTCTGTAGAAATTCTTTTACTCCGATGCAAATAAGACCATTAGGCTTTTCTTATTAATTCTTTGAAATGTTTTGTGCAAGGCCCCCAGTGCAGGAACTTTTTTTTTTTACTTTCTTTCTGCTTTAACTTTATCTTGAATTCTTTTTGGTTTTTAAAGGTCTGCAAAAGTTCTATCCGACACCATCCAGCTTGGAATGGTTGGTGATCATATTGGTGAACATCTGGTTCCGCTGAACAAAGAGGAAGGTAATCAAGTTTGTGACATGTGCATTCTACCAGGCCAAACTTTGTCTAGAGATGCAGTTGAACCAAAAACTGGGATTTCATTCCCAACAGTTCTGGGCAAACCTTTAGGTGGCGAGATTACTTCTAATCGCACTTCAGAGGTGGTTTATTTCCTCTACCTTTTTAATTTTTTGCATCTTCATTTACATCCATTATTGTGGTCATCATTGTGTAGATTTTTATGGAATCCATGATTTAATATATTTTTCTTGCTAAATTTATTTTTTCTGGCATCCTCCATATGTTATTTAAGTGCCCCTGGACAGCTGACCACCTGCTTCATCCCATTCTTATTTAATAAACAGTTTATTGGGATGAACCATTGATAGTTGAATGGAGCCCTTGGTTTTCTTATGGCTACTAAATGTAGGCATTGATAATAAAAACTAACTTTAATATTTGAATTTCGATGTCTTGTCTAATCACTTTTGGGGCATTATTTAAAAATTATTTTTATTTTAACAAGTTATTTGCTTTCAGTGATTATACTACTTATGCTCTTCCCATGGGGATATTTTTATGCCTCTCTTGGTTATGCCATCTTTGTATGTCTTAATGATGGTGATGGGTATCCTTTTGGTGAGATTAATGGCTAAAAATAGCTATGAATATTTTGTTTAATTTTTAGAGAAGTGTTCTGGAGTTTATGGTGGAATAATGAGGGTTTTAAAGGAGTATATTAATAGAAATGATAATACTAATCTAGTTTGGGCTACTTTGAGCTATTTTGAAATATCACTCTATCACTTTAGAGAGTGGCCTTTATATGAGATAAATGACTGTGAATGATGTTGAAATGTTAGATTAAGATATGAACTTATGATCTGGGGTTGATAGTAGAGTTTAGCGGAGTTTAAGAGGATGTTAAAGTGTAGGGAGTAAGATTAGGTCCAAGTATTTTCTATTTGGATTAGTGGCTATATGGAAATGTTTAGAAGAGCTTTATGATTTTGATTATTGGTTTATTGTTCTTAGAGAATGCTTATAAAGTGAAGGAAGAGTTGTGAATAGTTTAGAGCAGGTGTTTAGGAGGATTTATATTGAACATAAAAGAAAGATAACTATCTAATATCACCAAAGAAAAGGCATATACTTGAAGCCACCAAGCAACAAGCAAATGAAGAGAACTTCTCCACAAAATTATTTCATTTTTAAAATTAAAAATTATAATACATATCAGCCTATATTTATATGCATTACATGACTAACTTTTGGGGAAAAGATGGAGAAAAAAATGGAGTTTGGTGGACATTAAAGAGGAGTCTCACTTACCTAATTTTATTAATGCCTCATCCCTGTCTAATCATTTCATGGTTGATCATGCAAGTTTATAGATGAAAAATACAATATAAATTACATTTAAAACATTTAAAAACTATGGGCTCATTATTGGGCTCTTGTAATTTAGCCTTTTCTTTGATCTCTTCCTTGGGTTTTTGTCTTAGATCTTGTAATTGGGCTTTTAACTTTATTTATCTTCTTCCATTTGATGCGCTACATTACTCAAGGAAGACGTGAGTTTTTTAGAAATCTTAGGATCGTGTTTTTTTTTTTTAATTTGGCTCATGTGAAAGTTGAGTGCTTTAAAAGAAAATGTCTACTTTTCAGAATTTTTTTTTGGTATTATCATCGTGGGATTACACTCCTATTTGTTAACTCTGGAAGATATTTGAAGTACTGTTAAACAATCCTTTGTTATTAGCATTGATTTGTTAAACTAGGTTGTAATGGGGAAGAAGTCCATCAACTAGGTTTTTATATCATTGTGTATGTGTGGGTTTTCATGATTTTGTGACATTCTTTTATTTTTTTGTCTTTTAAACATCTAATGTTCTAACCCTTTTATTTTTTGCTTATTCCGTAAATTTGTACTAACTAAATTATTAAAAGTAGCCACATTTGTATGTGTATTATTTCTGAGCAGCGTTCGTTTCTTATGTTTTTCAGGTTCTTGTTGGAATTGGATTTAGAAGCATGAAAATAATAAAATTCAAATCTCTGAAGATTTATGCATTTGGACTATGTGAGTAACTCGAACATTGGCTTCCATACTTAGGTTTTCTTCTATTTCTGCCAGTAATACTTAAAGTTTTTGTTGGTGTTTGCATGTGGTTATACATTTTATTTTTCGAGGGGAAACCTTTAAAAATTTATTTTAGTTTTTTTTTCCTAATTGGTGATTGAACTTTTTTACATTCTATTTACAGATGTCCATTTTGGTTCCATCTGTAAAAAACTAGGTCATAAATATGCTTCCGTGTCTGCCATTGAGCTAAAGGATTGCTCTGAATTTTATGAAGATCTTCTCAGGTATACCTTACAGGCTTACACTAATTTCAAAGCTGGGTTTTTTTTTTCTTATTCTATTTTCTCTAAAGACGAGTGTCAGAACGCTACTCGTGTAATTCTCAGTGTGGAGAATCACATGAGATTGGGTCGGACAGGAAGAAATTGATCTATTAACTAACATACAAATTATCATCATAACATATACGCCATTCAATACTGGTTGTCAATACTTTTACTCAACCAGTAATAAATCATTGGATACACTATAGAATAGATCAAGCCCTTCTTTTCATTGAAACTCAAAGTATCTTATGCATATTACAAGAGACTATATGTGTCATCACTTATAATATACATCCTATACAAATGGGCCATCAACATTATTATACAACATTTGCAAGTAAATACAACAATCTTCCATCAACATATGCATCATCAAGTGGTCCTATGAGTCACCAAACTTTAGTTTTCGCTCAATCTATTTCCTTTTGTTTGCATCTGAAAAATGTCATATAAATTGCAAGCATGGGGTAAAGCTCAGTGTCATAATCTAATATAGCAAGGATTCAATGAAAAGATGATCCTTACACATGAATCATGACAATTGATCATTAGCACGATAAGTATATATATATATATATATATAAATAAAATTTGTCATGATATAAATTATATAGGTGGCATTGGATATAGGCGCAACACCTATTCTCATTCTTCATGTAGGATTATTACCCATGCTTGTTGGCTATTCGGATAAGTATGATTTACTTATACTCCCACCTTTCCCTTCTGGCTGATTTGGACAAGCTTGTTTTGTTTGCTTGCCAAAGGATGCTTTTTCTATAAATCTTCACATGACATTCCTAGCCATTATTTAGATGTATTTGTCATGAAACTTTTTCTTTTCATTTATATTGTAAATCGTGCAATCTCTTGTCAGTTGTCATATCATAAAGCAGAAACGTGAACTTTTGGGTACATGTATATTAACATGTCCATGTAACATTATCATGATAATCAAATAAAAGCTTAGATTATAAGTCATTTAAGATCTTGTTTGAGGCAAGGTGAAGAGAGTGATGTTTAATATAAGATATCAATAAGGATTTCATATGCAAATTCAAATCATTTTACTCATGGAAGCATCCAAAAGAAGAGTTTTAGCTAGGTTAACTCAAAGGTTATTGATAGGAAACACTTGCGTTCGCAAGTAACCTAACCAAAATCGGCGAACATTCAACAGCAAAACTGCTGTCCACAGCAGGAAAACAGCATAAATCTGGGACCGGTCTAACAGTTATTAACTAAAACCAAATTGAATCTTTGACAAGGCTTTTACTAAGTCGCCTTCTTCACCTTCCTAACTTCCTCACAAACTCTTAAGTGGTCTCAAAGTTCGCCAAAGCTACGCAAGCCCATCCCCAAAGCAATTACACTGCTAAATCTCTCACCATGCAATCTTTTTTCATCATGAAGAAACAGATGGCAGTGGCATGTGCATGATGAAAGCTTAAATGCATGCTTGGAATTGTGGAGGCACTTTTAGGATTTCTTGTCAAATCTTTCTCACTTAAAACCTTCATAATAAACATGTAGAAATGAATACTTCAACAATGAAACACACAAATGTTTAAGTGTAGGTGATAATGTTTGTAAGTTGTGTAATGCTACAAACTGAGTGATCAATATTAATCATGATATATATGATATAAAAAAAAACTAAATTAGCACACAAAGTTATTGTTACGAGCGGACCGGTCCCCACTGGACCGGTCCGATACTATGCCATGCGGAAAACAGAAAAGGGGCGGAACTCCCCTGTGGACCCCACGTTGGCTCAAATTGAATTTGGGAGGGAGATTTTTGAATGAGGGGCTGTTTTAGGAAGTCCATTATTGTCCTTTATGAGGAATTTGTATAATTAGGAGATTTGGGGGGGAATTAGAGGCATCTTGAATTTGAATTGTTTTGAGATCTAGGTTTTGGTTTCTTGGGCTCTTGGCTTCGCCGGAGATCTTTTGGAGAGTTTTTCCTTCCTCTCGAATTGAAGGAAAGCTGTATCTTGCAAGTGCTTTTTATCCGTTATCGAAATAAAAGTGTTTGCAGTGTTTTTTTCCTACGTTTTCTCCTACGTTTCCTCTCAGATTTTCGTGCAGTTGGCTGTTTTTCTGCTGTGGACAGCAGTCTTTCTTTGGATCCTCTTGGTTTTGGTGTGAAACACTTGGAAATCCAAGTCTTTCCTATCAGTTATATTCAAATAAGTAAACATAGAAATGTGATGCCACACAAGTGATCAATGGTGTAAGAATATGATAAAGCAAGGAGTGAGCATATAATTATTGAGCACAATATAAGTAAGCTACTCAATCACACAAAGGATGATATTATTAACATATTATACACCAAAGCTACACACAAGTGTCTACAAACAAGATTATGGTGTTACAAAATGATCTATGTTATATGTGAGGGTATACAACTTTGAGCACAAATAAATTGATCTACTTGACAAAAAGGCATAAGAATCACTACATAAACATTCAATCATGCAATGTTAATAAGTTAATTAGTAAATGTGTAAGGAATGTAAACTAATCTAACGATCAAGATGGGCAAATAATTTTATGTGGTTTATCAACCAACTTACTTATTTCGACATCTAATCTCCATATGGTTATATTAAAGTTCTACTAAGCTCCGTCTTCTCGAGTGGGTTGCTGCGTATAGAATAATAGCATGAGAATATAATTAACTATTTGCTTGCGGTAACACTAGGGAACCAAGATGACTAGTGGACTATGGCCTGAGTTTTAGCTATTGCTCTCACCCTCTTTAGGACATACTAATGTAATTTTATGGATGCACTTTTTTTTTCTTTTTTTTTTTTCAGGATTTCTGCTATCTTTTGGGCATATATTGATTATTTAAGGTTTACAGGATGGTCTTACGCAATTGTCTGATATTAATGCAGGGAAGATATTGGTTTGACTGTTAGGCTGGTTGTCAATTACAATGGACTTAAAATTCATACTGTCCGAGAGTAAGCAGCTTTTCTCCTTTTCTGGTTTTGTATCAGCTTTCTGGCATAATTTTTTGTTTTGTTTGGTACGATTTTCTTGTTGTTTCTTAAAAAAAAATTTAGTATACAATTTAATTTTTTTTAACTAAAAAGTCATTTTAAGAAGAAATAAAAAAGCCGTCCCAACCGCGGCATTCAAAATATTTTAATATATTTTATTAAGTGCAATATATGATAGGGACGTTAATGTGGATTGAGTGCTTCATTTTTTGCATTTTCGCAACACTATTTTAGTTTTATGTGGCCTTGCACTCAAGCCATGCTTGTGAAAACTGTTCAGTCCTATCTATAAGCCCACTGTGCTCTCTTTTACAGTCACTTGACTGTGTTTTCGATTTTGCTGTTAATTGCCGCCATCATCTGTAACTATAGCGGCAGTTGTACTGAGGTTTAAGCGAACTTTGTGGATCATTATCCGTTGCTGTTTATTGATGCATTGAAGAAATATAGGTTAGCAAAATATTATTTCTTTTTTTTATTATTATTAGCTGTGATTTTTTTTTTCGTTTTTTTTATTCATTCTGGTTAAATTTTTTATTTGTTCCTTTTTTTCATTTTATATTTATTCCAATATTTTTTATTCACCCCAATTAGTTTTTTTTATTTTTAATTCAATTTTTTTTTCAGTTTTGTTCGTACTTTTGTTTTTATTTTTTTATAAAATTATAGTTTTTCATATTTTTATATAGTTTAAACTTATATATATAATTTAATTATTCACAAAATAAATAAATAAATATGCCAAATTAAAATTTGCATGTGGCTAAAGCGTCCACCCTCGTCCACATCAGCTAGCCACTCCCTAGCATTACTAGCGACTATAACTAATTTTAAATTTTCTTTTTTACATATTTATTTTAATAATATAAATTATTACCAGATCTATTTACAAAATTTGTTTTGTTTTCTTTGTCCTTTACAATATCCTATTGCATTTTCTAATTTTACTATACATTCATGTCATCCTTCTCATTTCTTTCTTTTGATGTTTTCTTTCTTTTTAATGAAACGGCTCCTCCCATACAGTATTACCAGTCTTATTGTTGCAGTTTAAAGCTTTTCAATCAGTTTTGCGTTACTCTTTTGTTCACCAGCATTACAAAAAATCCTCTACGATTTGACAAACAAACTACAATCCCATAAGTTTTATACTGATTTTAATCCTACTCGTTACTTCTTCGTCTACTTCACATTTTTACGTATAACAAACCCAATATAAATTATTTATTTTTTATCAATTCTTGATAAAAAATTTCTACTTCTATGTTAATATGTTGTCCCATATATTTCAGCCTTGTCATTTCTAACTTCAATTTTAACTAGAAAATAGTAGCACATTTCAGTGACGTGATTATTTTATATTGCAGCGCCTTTGAGAAGTCCCTGCGTGCTAGGTTGCTGAAGGTATCCATTGATAAATCATGCCTTGCATTGTTTCTCAAGATGATAAAATGAATTGTTAATAACTTTGGCCTTTCTATTTTGATCAGATGAATCCTAATACAGATTATGAATGCTTGAGAGTTTTTGGTTCTTATTTCATGGAAGATATCCCTCTACCAATTGTAAGTTCTTTAAAATCGGCATTTCCAACTATTATTGCTTAATCAGAAATTGCCTTAATGAATTTATATTTCAGGGAACGACAATTGATTTTAGACAAACCACTGATGGTCGCCTGATAACTGAAAGTGCGGGTTATTTTTTCTATATAACATAATCTCTTCCTATTTTTATAGATTGTTAATGTCAGATTCTAACAGATTAATATTGCTTTCATTTGTAGTTGGTGGTAAGCATGTTGGTGCTGTTCAGAGCAAAGATTTATGCAGTAAGTTGAATACATCATTGTTCATGATTTTCAGGGTTCTCGTTAGAATATGAAACAAACAATTACTAAATGGATATCTCCACACACAAATAAAGGGGAAAATATTTTTATACTGTGCAATAAATTCTTGCTTCAGTTAAATTTTGAAGATCTGATGGACATTTACAGCAATAGACATTGAAGTATCAGTTTTATTGTTGTTTTTTTTTTATTTAAATAACATTACCATCAGCAATCTGAGGTCACACAGTTTTTTGGATCTGGGCTATTGGAATCTTCCTTGATTGCAGTTAAGGAAAATATTTTTGGATTTACTTTTAGCATATTGTCTTTGGCATACTCATTCTTGTCCCTTCCATTCCTGATCCTTCATCCTCTCCTCTCTCCTCTCTCCTCTCTCCTCTCTCCTCTCTCCTCTCTCCTCTCTCTTTTACGTATAACAAACCCAATATAAATTATTTATTTTTTATCAATTCTTGATAAAAAATTTCTACTTCTATGTTAATATGTTGTCCCATATATTTCAGCCTTGTCATTTCTAACTTCAATTTTAACTAGAAAATAGTAGCACATTTCAGTGACGTGATTATTTTATATTGCAGCGCCTTTGAGAAGTCCCTGCGTGCTAGGTTGCTGAAGGTATCCATTGATAAATCATGCCTTGCATTGTTTCTCAAGATGATAAAATGAATTGTTAATAACTTTGGCCTTTCTATTTTGATCAGATGAATCCTAATACAGATTATGAATGCTTGAGAGTTTTTGGTTCTTATTTCATGGAAGATATCCCTCTACCAATTGTAAGTTCTTTAAAATCGGCATTTCCAACTATTATTGCTTAATCAGAAATTGCCTTAATGAATTTATATTTCAGGGAACGACAATTGATTTTAGACAAACCACTGATGGTCGCCTGATAACTGAAAGTGCGGGTTATTTTTTCTATATAACATAATCTCTTCCTATTTTTATAGATTGTTAATGTCAGATTCTAACAGATTAATATTGCTTTCATTTGTAGTTGGTGGTAAGCATGTTGGTGCTGTTCAGAGCAAAGATTTATGCAGTAAGTTGAATACATTATTGTTCATGTTAGAATATGAAATAAACAATTACTAAATGGATCTCCACACAAATAAAGGGGAAAATATTTCTATACTGTGCAATAAATTCTTGCTTCAGTTAAATTTTGAAGATCTGATGGACATTTACAGCAATAGTGATATGAAACCAGGAATTGTTTTCTTAGAAATTAATAAAATTTGTTCGAGTAATGATAAAGTAGTTTAATGCTTCTCAAATTTGACAAATCAAACAAGATCTTAGAAGTTAACAATGTTTAGGCAAGTCATTACAACTAAATTTGCAAGATTCTTAAAATAACAACTTAAGCAAACGTAATGATATGATTAGTCAACTAGAATCAGACGGTTAACAAAGTAATCGTTTCACCTTGAGGCATAAAGACACTCTTCTACTTCTAGGATTGTCGGAGGAAGAAGAACCATATGAGAAACGAGATCACTCCAAGGTAGACGGCGCAGACTATCCGTAGTGATGGCGAGGGAAGCGGCGGCAGTGAAGGTGGGGAAGCGGGTGAATGTCCGTGGATGATCCAGTCGTAGTCTGAAAATTGCCCATCGATGACGTGCATAAGGGTGGGGAGGATTCAATCTAAGTATTCGTCAATGGTGTTGTCGTGGTCAAACCCCACGTCGAAAAATGGAGATCGAAGAATGTGGATGTCTCCGTAGATGCCGAATACGAGTCCGCCTTCAAGTTCAGGATCCGCCATGCATCATGGGAGATCATGGCGTTGATGTGGTGGAAGAGGGTGGGAGAAAGGCCACCTAGGGGAGGTGGAGCCAAGGGGGGCGGGTGGAGCAAGGGATCGGGTGGTGAGGAGGAGGGGAGTGGACGGATGAGTTAGGTGGAGATTTGAGAGACTAATGAGCAATCTCAATTTGAATTTCCCTTAGACAAAGTGGGAGGGAAATTAATTGAGAATTCAAAATAATCCCATAAAGGGCCGGCGGTTTAGGAGAAATTAAGGAGTTAATTGGGTAGCAATTAATCATATGAGAGAAACTGGACCCAATGAATGACCGGCCACATAGAGAGGAAAAGGGTATTTATAAATTATAAGTAAGTGGGGCCCATGTACTAGTCTAATATTTGAATAAATCTGAACTAATTCTCAGATTTTATGAGAGGGAACGTTTCCAAAATGGGGAGCTATCAATTAGAAGTAATTTGAATTGATTATTCAAAATTAGATCCAATTAATATTGAAGTCTTAAATCAAGGAGCTAATTTTGGAAAGTATTCATGGCCTCATGAAACCAATTGGAATTTCAAATTTTGAAATTCAAAGGAGGGGAAAGGGGGAAGCCGGCGGCCAAGGCAAGGGGCTGGGCTAGGGACGGGGTAGGGAGGCCGGCAGGAAGTAGCTGATGGGGGGGGGGGGGGGGGTCTGGCTGGTCCAGGAGCTGGCTGGTCCAGTAGGGACGGCGGCAAGAAAATTGGGGAGGAAGAAGGGGTCGGCGGGATGGGGAAGAAAGAGGAAGGGCTTCAAGGAAATTGAAATTGCCAGGTTTACTAACGTTGCACCACACCACCGGTAGAACTCACAAAGAGATCTACGACGATATCCTCTTCTAGAACTGACAAAGAGATCTTAGAGGATTCATGAACTCACAAAGAGAACAAAGAGCAACTTTTTTTCATTTATCAAAAACTGATCTCAAATACAATGACAAAGCCTATATATAGGCCAACCGGAAATAAAAGTCATAAAGACAACATTGCCCTTGGGCTATAATAAACACAAACTCCCTCATAGGGGTACAAATGGAAAACATGAAATATAAATGACATGAATAAAATAAAACATCAAAAATAAAGACTCTGAATCATGGCCGTCGCTCGACGACCCCTCTGATGGTACGTGTGCCGGAATCTTCTATGGATGTCCTCATCAAATAGACATTGAAGTATCAATTTTATTGTTGTTTTTTTATTTAAATAACATTACCATCAGCAATCTGAGGTCACAGTTTTTTGGATCTGGGCTATTGGAATCTTCCTTGATTTCAGTTGAGTAAGGAAAATATTTTTGGATTTACTTTTAGCATATTGTCTTTGGCATACTCATTCTTGTCCCTTCCATTCCTAATCCTCTCCTCTCTCCTCTCTCCTCTTTCTCTTCCCTTGTGCTTGACCTAGATATATGATCGCATATCCTATACCTAATCTCCACCTAACCTCCGCGAATAACCTTCTTCCTTGCTGTGATCCGACTTCAACTTGCCCACATAACTAACATTTTAATCTTATCTCGCATTGCTTTCTTTTTCTCACTCAATGGTGTCATGGCTTCAATGTTGTGAAACTCTCAGCCATGAGTATCTCAATTAAATGTAATGTGACCAACTATCTCCTATGCTTGAGAGTTTTTCACTTCCTAATATTTTTGGACTATAAACTTCAAAACCTTGTCGTAACTCCTTCAGATTGCAATGACACCATTATTTTTTTTTTTATCTTTTTTCAAATGACAAACCTCTGATTTAATTGTTCTTACTTCATTACTCAAGTTTCTTGAACCTTCAACTGCCCAATATTCGTGTTTCAAGATTTTGCTATGATATGAAACTTTTTTTATTTCACCTATTTTTGTCATAGTAATATTTTACATGTCTCCACTGTTAACTGTAGACCGAATTTTAATCTCGTTAGAACTATTCGCCATCACACAACAAGAAAAGAGACTGGCGTGGAGAGGCTGGGGCCCGTGGAATTTTTGGAGCCGACATCCACTCTTTATTATGAGATGTTTTTTCTCTATAATATCATCTGTCTATCTAAGAATACTACAATAATATATGGGGAAAGTGGGATGAAGTTCTAAATTATATACTTTTTACTAATCTATCCATTTGATAGAAACAAAATGAGGAATTTCATGCTAAATTTCTTTTTGAACATCATCCCTCACTCCAATATTTTTTACTTATCTATCCAGCATATGCAAATCTCAAATGATGGCAAATTTTACATTCCTCAATATTGTGACTATTCTGTCTCGAATTCTTTAGGTTTTTGACTTTTAACTTCCTCTCCGCTCATTTCTAACTGATATAGACACAGGATACCCACAGGGCGGGATCTTTTATCCTTGCTCTCATTGTGTTTGTAATAATCATCCTTCAGAGCATTGTTAGGCCTAATTTGGTTATCCTTCCATTGCTCAAACATGCCATTTCATCAATTTTCACTTGTGCTGTAAACTAACGTTCATTTTATCTTACACTGTACTCAAGGGCGGATCCAGCTTCTTTTATCAGGGCGGGCAAAAAAAAAATTTGTAGGGGATGGACAAAGGCGCTTATGATTGATAAAATTAGGACAAAAAATATTTTTGAGGGGGGCAAAATATCCAAAATACCTAAAATATTTCAAAACATCCCCTCTAAATATTAAATATTTTTTTTTAGCATGGGCATTTGCCCACCCTGGGTACATGGGGGATCCGCCCATGACTGTATAGTCTTCTATCCTGCATTTGGCTTCTAGCCATCCAAATGCAGGCCTCTTGAAGGTATTAGATTGCCATTAAAATATTTGTTCTATCTTGCTTAAAAGCTGATTATATTGAATCCATCTGCAGGGGCTTTCTTTGACATGTACATAGGTGATGTTCCTGTCTCTCTGCAAACCAAGCAAGATATTGCTGAGAATGTTGCTAGACTCATGAGGAGATGCTAGACAAATGACCTAATGAGTTCCTAATTTCTATATAGATTATGGGGTCCATTTTTATACCAGGCTGAATTTAAAGAGAGAAAAATGATCAGGTTGAAGCTTTTTAAATGCTTCAGGACCTTCTTTTCCTTGGTAGCTGTGATGCATCAAGTTCAGGTGTTCAGAATATATGTTCATTCTCATTCTTTAGAAGGCTCCATTAGCTATTACTGTTTATAGAGGGATTGGGACTTGCCAAAGGCTTTATATTTTGAGCTCTTTATGTTACTTATGGCTCTTTTTTACATGAATGATGGCATTCTTTGTACAATGAATAATGTATAGTTCATTATTCCAAAAGTTCGGTCGCCGTTTTAACGTGTTTTTATTAGCAATTTCATTTGTGACAATGGAATGAATGCTGAACAAATGGATTAATTATTATGTGTGGACGCCGAACGTCGTCCGGAAACCAACCAGAATGCGCCACATCACCCTTTCGCTCCGTACTGTAGCTTGGTACTGCTGATGTGGCATATTTTGATTGGTCTTCGAAAGACGTTTTGCATCTAGACTCACAGAATAATTTCTCGTGACCTGATGAGTTCCATTTGTAGTTGATTAGCCATATTTTAGGAGTTTAGCTATGAACTGAAAAAAATTTGACTAAGGAGTTCCTCGATCTATTTATGAACAATAACCTCATTATAGAGCTCATTTAAGATGTGATGTTATGTCTTTTACAAGGCATGATGGCTCAAGAACATGATAGTTATAAATTTGATGATGTGGTTGCTTAAATTTTGATGATAAGCTTGTTTAAAGTTTAATGGGTTCAACTTTGTATAAAAACATATCAATTAGATTTTTTTTTCATTTCAATTGTATTTCAGGGAAATATTTAGAATAATGTTTTAATTTTTTTATATAGCTATCGTGGAAATTAGAAATATCTCATTTGTTTAATATAGGTAGAATTCGGTGTAGAGAAGACAATACGTAGAAATTTGACTTTTTGTAGTAAAAATGTTCAGAATAAAGCATTCAATAAATTGTTAAAAGTTATATGATAAAAATATTATAAAATTTGTGAAAAATGCATTTTTCTTTATATTTTTTTACATAAGTGTTATAATTAAAGTTAGATATAAGAGTTCAAAAGTTTACCTATTAAATTTCTAGCATGCTTGACGAATAAAACACGAGCTTTAGCCATCGGATTCTTACTTTCTATTTATCTCTTCTCTTCCTCTTCTTTTCCTTCCCTATTTTTTCTCGTGCAAGGTGGTTGGTGCGAGGATCAAAATGAATTAAGATATTTTATATTAAGAAATCTTCATTTTCGTCCAACACTGTTGCCTTCAATAAAACATTATAGATGCTCTCTCAAATCCAAGAGTTGAGCACTACGGCAGCACCACCCAAAGTCACAGTGCTCCATCAAACCCTCTTCTCAATCAAAGAGCTCAATGTAATAGTATCGATTTTCCTAGCGCCACGGCGCTTCCATTATAATTTTTAGTGACTTGCATTTTATCTTTCCTATGTCAAATCCTTCTCTTATTTGGGATGAATTAAGCACAGTAAAACTCACAAATTTCTAGCTAAATCAAAATTAAATAAACATTCATTATATTTTACATTAATTACTAAAGTTCTGAAACAGTTGGTGTTACATAAAATTATAGAAATTTTGGCATGATTAATATAGATGTTAGCAAATTGCCAAATTTAGCCAGGATGTTTTTTGTTAAGGGGGGTTTAGGACCTTAGGTTGCTGGCAATACAATACCAGAAGCCAGTATGTCATTCGTATAGAGGAGGTAAGAATCTTGGAATTGATAGAATAATTAATAACTTTTAATAATTAGAAACTCTTAGCTCACTCTACAATTCTTTTATTATTAGGCAATGCTTCATTGAATTTGACCTTCATATATTCATCTTTGTCTTAAATTATACCAAATCATTTTTTGTTATAGACAATTATGTCTTTTCAATATTAATAAAGACCCAGTAAAAGCTCAAAATAGTCCACCCAGTATTGATATTTACTCAAATTAGTTCCAAAATTTCACATTGTCTAATTTAGTCCCCCGACTATAAAAAATTGTCCAATTTGATCCCTCGCTTAGATTTGTCCACTATAAGCCCCGGAGACAAAATATGAGACTGAATTAGGTGAGGTAGAAGTTGTGAGCAAGGCAACCTGCTGTGGGAGGCTACGAGCGAGACTACGTGCTTCGAATTGAAATCCAGAGTCGGGTGCTGCTGCTAGCCAGACAATGCGGCACGAGCGATTTGGCATGCTTCGACATCCATACCTTGCTTCTGCGAGCAACTATGAGCGATCATGATGAGCTACAATATCGTGAGACGAAGATGGTGAGCAATGTATGACAACCACAAGGAGATGGAGACACAACTAGGTTTGTTGTTTATCTTTTAAAATCAAGCTTAAACACAGCTAGGTTTGTCGTATGATCTATTTATCTGCTTAGAGCCCTCTTAAGATTCGATTGTCTAGATTAGTTTCTAAAGTGTAAATTAAATTGGGTTATATTCACCAACATCATGAGACGAAGATGGTGAGCAATGTATGACATCCACAAGGAGATGGAGACACAACTAGGTTTGTTGTTTATCTTTTAAAATCAAGCTTAAACACAGCTAGGTTTGTTGTATGATCTATTTATCTGCTTAGAGCCCTCTTAAGATTCAACTGTCTAGATTAGTTTCTAAAGTGTAAATTAAATTGGGGCAGAACTATTTAACAAAGCATACTGAATTCACAACTATTTAAGTCGTTTAACAGATCATATCAAATTCACAGCTATTTAACACAACTGTGTATGCAATCATTGAAGGTTTAGGCACTGAAATGGAGGGTAAATATATAGTTAGTATTTTATGTCATTTCTTTATTGTTGTTTGATCTATGTATCTGCTTAGAGGCCTCTTGAGGTTTAATTGTTTAAAATAGTTTACGGTGCATGATTATGGGCCAAGTTGGGTGTATTGCAACAATCCAAAGATATGAAAATCATTTTAAAATGAAAAATATGAAAATCTGTTATTTATGTATGAAGTGGAGTACAACGGTGTTGTGCAAGGTAGTGCTCCAGCACTTGCATGAGAGCACGACGACGCCAGAAAATACAATTGCGGTGTTTGTGTCTATGTCCTATAGTAATTCTAAAATTGACATGCAGCACTACGGTGGTGGGTTGGAGCACTGGGGTGCTAGGCCACTAACATTATTTTTATATATTTTTAATATAAATATCCCTACCGCCCTTCCTCGCTTTCTCACTCAGTGTTGCCTTGCCCTGAGAAGAAATCGAAGAAAAAGGCGATGGGAAGAGAGAGAAAGTTCATTGGGGCTTTTTGGTTCGTTATTCCTTTAATGAAAATTATTCTATTCGTAGTAAGTAATTATTCTCTTACTTATGTTTTCAATCATTTTAATTTCTATGAATTTATCTCTCCTAAATTAGCCAAAAATGCATTGTCTTTTGGTTCCATAACCTTTCACTGCGTAACTTTTGATACGTTATAGATTTGATTGTTCTGAACGATTTGATAGAAATTTATTATATTTTCACCGATTAAATATGCGTATAGGAATTTTTTTATAAAATGTGTAGGAAAAAGGCATATTGCAAACGGGTTGAAATGATGCACTATAATTTAACTTGATAATAGTGAAATATAATATGCGTTGAAATGATTGGCATGGGTGATATGTATTGGAATGTGATACCGATCTGACTGAAAAGATGTATTGTAGTGATATTGCTCTTATAGAAAATTATATACTCATTGATATCAAATAATCGATATGATAACCTCATGTGATACCTTTAAGATCAACGTGATCCACTAACAAGAGTCAATGGATGGGAGTCATAAGGGATGAATGATTGGGAGTCATAAATGCAAGAATAAGATACCTTCAAGATATCCTCAATTGAATATTTGATACATATAATACTAATTAATGATTACTTATACGAATTATTACTAATACTTATTACTGTCTACTGATCATTGATATTAATTATTATGTTAATATTGTAAAGATATTGGTATTTAAACGATAATAGTATGGATGACCATACTAATACCTCAATGATAAGAGTATTGATAATCGTATTAATACCTCAACAATATGAGTACATATAGTGTTGATACATGATAAGAGTATATATATATATATTACAATTATTTGAACAATGATATGATTGACTTATTGATAAGATAAAACGAATGCTACAATTTAGAATAATTGAATAATAAAAATAGAATGGTTGATTAACTGACAAAACGAGATGCGATGTGTGATAGAATGATTGATTGATTGATATAGGTGAATGATGCAGATAGTATCATAGATTTTTCTTATATGGTTTATAACATATTGTCTCTTTTTCATTGCATTTATTTTAGTTATTTGCAGGGACTTCATGCTTATTATGTGATTTAAATGATTTCATATAAGAAGCATGCAGTTTGAGGTTATATTTGCAATGATGAAAGCATTATTTTTATTTAACTCTTTGATTTATGTATTCTTTTGTGGCCAACATGACTATTATATATATTATTTTGAGCTCTGGTTATAACATGTAATTATGGGTTATAATAATGTGAATTATGTTTCTATGATTATTTATTTCCTTTGATGCAATAATTTAGCTATGGATGTCTAATTGATTAGATTGTAAATAAATGGATATTTATTGTTAATGAAATAATAAACATAATAAAGAAGAAGAAAATTCTTTCACTTAAGATCTCGGAGTGTAACATCCATAATCATGTAAAAAATTTGTATATGTTATGTTGACTTATTTACTTTCTTTATTATTATCTTTCATATTTAATTTTGAAGTTAACATTAATTTTTATTTTAGACTCTAAAACAAAATAAAATCAATTTTAAATTGAGGAACTAAATAGAGACAATATGAAACTCTAAAACTAAATTGTACATTTATCAATATTCTCATCTTTATTTTGTAAAAGTACAAATTAATTATCTAACAAAAAAATTGCATTCAGTAGATCTTTATTACAAGTTACCAATTTTATTTTGCAAAAGTTATGTAATTTTTATAAATCTATATTTCAGTACTCTTTCTCACAACTTCATTAAAAGATTCATAAATATGATTCATCAATATATTATCACAATAAATAATTTTTTTATTGTTTCTTAAAATATTTTTTTAATATAAAAATTTTATTTTTTATATAAGAAAATTCCTTTAAAAAACAATAAAAAAACCGCCTCAAACAAAATCAACCCTAATTTACACTCTGCAATCACCGCTGCCATAGAAAGCGACCTTACAAGCCCACCGATACCTCCATCAATTTACTAGCTCAGATTTCATCTTCATTTATTGATCTTTAATGGTTGGGCCCAAAATTGACAACTGAGCATAGAACTTAGCTTTTGTTTGATTTACAGCTCTTGACAACATTTTTAAAATCAAACCAGATCAATCAGCTTCTGTTTGATTGTTAGTCAAGGCAACATTTTTATCCACATGCCTACATGATTATCTGCAAAATACAGCTCAACAAACCAACAAAACTGAACATCAATGGTAGACATTTAATCTAACTGAAGTTTCAATAAGCTCTCATTCTTACGAGAAATTATTCTGTGCGGACAACGATAGCTCTGTACCCATAAGCGAATCAAAGCACGCCACAGAACTCAATATGCAACGGTTAAACAACCACTATACACAATAAGACAAAAGGTACACAACCTTAATACACAGCAAGGAGGTGACATAACGTACTCTGATTTGACTCCAGACGACATACAATGACCGCACAAAATAATTAATTCATTCTTACGAAACTCTGTTGACAGAAATCTAGCTTCCAGTTTCATACTCACATTCTTTTTTTTTTCTAATTATGCTACTGCTATTTGATTTCAATTCCCCAAAAAAGCCGAAATTTTACAAACTCAAAATTCAAGCATATATATATTTCATCATTTCTGACGTTCACATAGCAAAGTTCCTTGAATTCAATCTCCTACAGAAAGCATGGAAAAGGTATCCTTATGACAAAAATGATTAAAGATTTTGATTGCCAAACAGAAAGAGAGCCAACTCCCCTAAGTTGATTTTCAAAAGAAAACTCCCCTTAGTTTCACAGGAAACCAAAAAAAGGCAGAACTTTGCAACTTCCATTTCTACATTTGATTCTGATGTGAATTTTTTAAGATCACTATCACTCGCTGTTATGAGAAATTACCTCACCAAACTTGAGAAAGAGCTGGGCATCAGAGGAACTGAAAGAAGTACAAGTAAGAGCAGATGTTTTCTGAAACCCTGAATACCCATTCATGTAGCTTGGCATTGTCGATGGAAGTGGAGGTGAAGGAAGCAGCTGCTTCGTTGATGAAGAAAGGTTTGGTTTAGCAAGAAAGTTTAGTAACCGAACCACTTCATGCATTGTCGGCCGGTCCGAGGGCTGCTTTTTGGTGCAGAGGAGAGCTAACTGGAACACTTTCTTTACAGGGCCGAGATCACTGCAGGTGGCTGAAATTTCCGGTTCAACTGTTTCCATTACTGCATCGTTTACTGCCTTCGATAATATCTGTTGCAAAAACAAAAAAAAAGTATGTAAATAGAATACAATGGCTATGAGAATGCACTATTTTAGATGAGGGTCTCCCCAATCACAAACAGAAGTATCACTTTATGAGAATGCACTAGCAAACAGATAATGGCAGATTATTTCATTCATATAAGCTCCTATAACAGGCAACCAGTTTAGCTAAAATATAGAATTACAAAAGCTAATGAAGTTAATGGCCCGAGCTCAGATGTTTTTTCAGCTTCAAAATAATGCGACTCAAAAGGAATATGGTCCAAATCTCCACATTTCAGTTTATTGAGAAAGCAATCCATTTTGTAGGGATGATCAGTTTTTATTTCACAGCTCACTTAACATGTTAAAATACACTGAAAATGACAAATGATGTTATTTTTGTGTGGATTCTGATTATATTATCAATCGAGTTGTATTGCTGCCTTGGACTTCATTTCCATTGATCAAGCTCGTTGGACGGTTGCAGGGGTAATAATCTTCAATTCTTCATGCTTGGTTTTTAGGTGCTTCACAGCAGAAAAAAAATAAAAAAATTCCCCCTACAACCGTACAATGTTGTGGTGTTGTATAGTTTGCTTGGAAACAGACAAACCGGAGCACTGCAATGCTATCAAAAAGACAGAAGATAGAGTTGAGCGCCGCAACGTTACAATGTGGGCTGGTAGTTTTCTTACTCATTTTTCTTGAAGGGTTGTGTCCCTTGGTGGTTTTAATTGAGTCTCTTTGTTTTGTTTGTATGATAACGGTGCAAGGGTGAAGAAAGATAAGAAGAGAGTGAAAGATAAGAAAAATCTGTATTATTTCCCTCAAATTTCATTGTGAATTTCTTGGTATGGTGTGTCTCCGTTATTTTTTCTCAATTTCGAATTTTCTCACATTAAATCCTGATGTTGTTTATTTTCGCTAATTTTTTTAGAGGTCCTATCAAGTCTTTTGTACGTTAAATTCATTGTATGGTAAATATTAAAATCCCATTTCAAATTTTCTTTTTATGTGTTTATTAAATTTATATTCTTCAAATACTTTCGAAACATAAGTGGCTACTTCTAAGGGGAGAATACTTGCAACAAGGCGAGGCTTCATTCTTCCTTTAGGGTGATTTTTCTCATTGTCCTTGTCTTCCAAATTTTCCAGTCATTGACTTTGCATGCTAATATGACTGAAATTTTATAAAGATATATGTCAGATTCTCCTTTTAAACATTGTTGCTAATCCTTTATGCTTATCTTTGTTTATCATCTCAAATTTTAAATTTTGATTGATTGCCTCATTATCTTTTGGACTGAATAATTGTGCATGTTATCCATACATTAAAATTAATTGCCGAACATATGAGTACTTTATATATTTTCATCTTACATCTCATCCTAATTAGCATTATAAACCCTACACCCTTAACCATCCAACATCAAAATAGTTGTCCGATGAAATATTACTTGAGCTCTCTAGTCCTTAAAATTACATGCAAAGTAACCAACAATGTAATTGTCAAAAAAATAATAAAAAAAAATAGAAAGAAACTATAATATGATTATTAATCAAGAGGTAAGTCGTTACCAGTTGATGCAAGTTGCATTCTTCATCGACCGCCTTCTTGCCTGTGAGGAGTTCAAGTAGGACGATGCCATAGCTATAGACATCAGACTTCTCATTAAGCCGAGAAGTTCGAGCATATTCGGGGTCAATGTAGCCTATGGTTCCCATCACATACGTCGAGGTATGGGCTTTGTTCACACAAAGGAATTTTGCAATGCCAAAATCAGTGAGATGAGCCTCAAAATCTTTGTCCAATAGTATGTTAGAGGACTTCACATCTCTATGAATGATCCGGGGGCTGCAGTCATGGTGTAGATAAGCCAGACCTTCTGCTGCTCCCAGGGCAATTTTTAGTCGAGTCTCCCAATCGAGCTTTTTCTTCTTCAAAGATCCTTTTAGTAAGAAACGAGATAACAAATTTAGCTAGTTTTGATAGTAAAACAACTCATGATCACTTAAAAAGTGCTCATTTAATGAATGAAAACAAGTCAGAATCACTTAAAGTGCTCATTTAATGATTGATACAGACTGAAAAAGTAATAATCTTGATTTCACTCATCCAATGTGTCAAAATAAAATTATTCAATGAGTCAGAAATGTGCCAAATATTACCATGGAGAAGATCCCAGAGGCTCCCATTCTCCATGTAATCATAAAAGAGTAGATTGCCAAATGGTGAAAGAGAGTATCCTTGTAAGCTGACTAAATTTCGGTGTTTGATGCTTCCAAGTGTCTCCAACTCTGTGTCAAATTCCTTAAGGTATTGAGGATAGTGTGAGTAAATCCTCTTGATGGCTACTGGCCTGCAGTTCTTAAGCACACACTTGTAAACAGTGCTTGATGCACCATATCCAATGATATACTTCTCACTCAAATTCTCAGTCATTCTCATTATGTCATCATAGACATGTAGAGCCATATTCATGTGTAAGATCACAAGCTTAGGTGACGCATTGGTAACTGCATAAAAAATGAATATTAACTTTGATCATGGAAATAATATATTACAACCTAAATTTTGAGAAGAAATGTCTTTAGACATGAAGAACAGTAAGCAAAATTCAAAGAATTAGGTTCCTGTTCACGTAGGGCATACAGAGGCATTAATGTACGCCGACAAAAAACATGGTTCGTGATTGCGGCACATGACCGGCTCGAGAAAATGAGATGCTAGCCCTTCCTTCTCCACCTCTGTTTAAGGCTTCGTTTGGAACAACTTTCTTATTGCTTCTTGAATTTTTAGTACATAAAATTTCCTTTTTATACAAGAAAGCTGATTTAAGAAGCAACAAAAAAGCTATCTCAAACAAAGCCTAAATGAACACAAAATAATAAATGACAGTTGAGAAAGATTACCTGGTTTTTGTGGATAATCAGGAAAAGTTGGAGGTTTGTGTGGCCTGCATGCTGCAACTAAAATCAACAGAAGAATGACAAGAGCTCCCAAAGCAATTCCCAAAATGGCAGCTTTGGAAATTGTGGCTGCAAATAATATATTAACAGACAAAATATCATAGCTCAAATTCCATGCATTGGAAAACAGAAGCCCCTAACAGTAATTAGGTTTAAATTGAAGGACTAAAAAAATAACAAAAAACAGACCTTGTTTAGCTCTCACAGATGGATTGGCTGAATCACATTGAGAACCAAGCCAGTAACCACACAGACCAGGGTTGCCTATAAAGCTGTAAACCCAATAAAAAATAAGATTTCAATAAGAACCCCTTCAAATTAAAAACATAATAATTAAATGGTACTGAACCATCAATCATGATAAAAGGTATAAACCCAAACAAATAATTGATAAGTTAAGGCTTTGGTTGGAACAGCTTTTTTACTGCTTCTTAAAACATCTTTCTAGTACAAAAATTTAAACTTTTATACTAAAAAGCTCGTTTAAGAAACAGCAAGTAAGCCATCAAATAAATTTCAAACGAAGCTCAAGTCGTTGAGAAATAAAAGCTACAGAACAATGGAGAAATTCCAAGAGATCACACCTTTCAGGAGAGAAGCGCGATAAGTTGTTCATGTTTGGTATATCACCAACAAATTTGTTGTATGAAACATTGCTGTTTACAATTGTTGATACGATTAAATTTCTTCAGTAAAAGCTTAAAACCAAAATTCTATTCTCAACTTACAGAACAGAAAGACTAGGACAATTGGTTAGGCACATTATGCCGCCAGATAAATTGTTGTTTTCTACTCTTCTGCAGAGATATAGAATCAAAGATTAATATATTATTTACAAATGCCTTCTACTTATCTACTTTACTACTGCATAAATGACGAGGATTACAATAGCATGAGGTTTTGAAGCAATCCAAACTCCTGGGGTATCTGGCCTGAGAGCTGATTTCTAGATAAGTCACTGCATTAAAATCCAGTAGTTTTAAAGGAAACAAGAATTAGAAGAGGAACGTTAATCACATTAAATAAATAAAATAGAAGCATTATAATTTTTTACTTTCTACAGAGTTCTTACATCTCCATGATACTTCGCAAGTTTCCGAACTCTGGAGGAAGGTAACCAAATAAATGATTATTGCTCAAATTCCTAAATAAGGTTGAGAAATTATTAGAAGGGAGTAGAAAGGTAAGGCATGAAAATATGATTATATAACCCACAGTTTAAGAAGATGTTCTAGATCACCAATGGAGGAATGAATAGGGCCACTGATCATGTTAGATGATATATCACTGCATGAAAGTATATACCATCAGAAGGACCAAAACATTTATCATCCTTTTCATAAATAAGCCTTCAAAGTTCATTGATCCTTACAGCGTATCTAAATTCCCAATTCTTGAAAGTTCAATAGGAATTGGACCTTTCAGATTGTTTGCAGATAGATTCCTGTCATAGACATATAATAATTATAAAAAAATGCTAAATTCAAATATTACTTGGTTTATCTGATGCACATAAAGTCTTAAGAAAAATTGATTGATCAGAGTTAAAAGTCACTTCAATAAATGAATATAAGGAACATGTTAACTCACAAATATGTCATACTATCAAGGTTTTTAAAAGTCCGTGGAATGGTACCATTCAACTTGTTTCCATGTGCATTACTGTAAAAAGATGAATTAGTAGTAGATAACTCACACACAAGAAGAATTCGTAACTACATGAACAACTGCGATTAAAAGATAATACTCACAGGCTATTAAGATTCACACATGAGCTCAAATTATCAGGAATAGTCCCTTCAAGATAATTGTTCGCAATATTCCTAAATCATTAATTTCATTATTCTTTTCCATTCTTGGTGCAAAGATGACATGAAAAATTAAGCATCTAGACCAAAAAAATCGAATTTAGGCAAGATCATACAAGTCAAATAAGTCTGTTAGCTTCCCAAGCTCGGGTGGTATACTCCCTGTAAGCTGGTTGTCATTTAACTCCCTGCATGACTGTAAAATTTCAGATAGAAACTTATAACAAAATTTCAAAACAGCAACTCTTCACAGTTACCACTTACAAGTAATGAAGCATCGTCATGTTACCAAGCTCAGGTGGTATAGGTCCAGTCAATCTGTTGCCTTGCAAATACCTGGATGATCAGTAATGTCATTTAACACCCAACAGAATTGTCAATCACTAATGAAAAAATAGGATAGATTCCATAATTATTTCATGAGATTGGTTCTTTCACTTGATTTCATTAACGGAAGTTACAGACAAAGAAATGGTAAGGCACAAGTAGCTATTGCCACATTTAATCCTTAAAAAAGGATAATATCCAAAGCAAAAATATTAAAAAGAGAACAAAATCCATCAAAAAGTGTATTGTTCATCAAAAACAAAGAAAAGGTCTTCAATTCATTTTCTCGGATTAATATAATTTAAATTTGCTCGTCTTTCTGAAATTTTCCACTATAAAACAAGTAGTTGAACCTGATATACACAACTGTGGCTGCAACACATTAAACTACTATATTTAATTTCAGTTGCTAATGTAAAAGATGATAACTCAAATGTGATGAATATGCAAGTAACAATTTAGTCAATGAATTCGATATACAAGCAAAGTCGAGAGCTTTCATTTAAAAATTTATCTTGGATACTTCAGCTTGTAGCATGATATGTTCATAAAATTGTAAACTTACAGCTTCTCTGTATATGTTAAGTTGCCCAAAATAGGAGGGATTGGTCCACTTAGAAGATTACAACTTAAGTCTCTGCAGCATAAAAAAAAACAGATATTCTATCATGTATCCAGGATAATGTTCATCATTAATAGACTCACAAAAGTATAGCAAATTAGAAAATCAAGTAACTTAACTGAAGTTAACATTGAAGTCTCAGGCTTCGTTTGGGGCGGCTTTCTTGCCTCTTCTTAAAGCAGCTTTTTAGTACAAAAATTAGAAGTTTTATACTAAAATGTTGTTTTAAGAAGCAATAAAAAAGCCGTCCCAAACGAAGCCTCGTACTCTTAAGGATAAAAAAACATTGAACCTTCTTTCTTTGATGAAAACAAGGAAAAAGGAATTTGAAAAAACACAAAAAACTAAAAGATCAAGAGAATGTATGACTTACAATACAGCCAGAGCCTGCATAAGACCAATAACAGAAGGAATAGATCCAGTAAACTTATTGTTTTGCAATGACCTGGTGTAAGAATGCAAATAAATACTTCAGTAAGTATCCGCATATCTAACTACTAGGAAGTAGAGAAAGCCTTTGAGAATAATCACATACAAAGTAGCAACTTGCAAAAATCCTATGTTGAAGGGAATTTCTCCAGAGAATTGATTGTACGAAAGATCCCTATAATAAAGCATATATTTGGAGTAAGATTCTATAGTTAAACAGCTCATTAGAAGTAAGATGAAAGGGAATTGGAGTCCTTACAAAACTTGAAAACTTGTACAGTTTCCTATGCTTTCAGGTATAGTCCCCTTCAAACTGTTGTTCTTCACATCACTAAAAGATAAAGTATTCAAACATAAAATTCATTAGAGAAATATGCGGGATAGAGTGATGTAATAATGATAATCAAGTCTTGCTTATTTCCACTATATTTAGCCTTAGGGATGGGATACTTACAAATACCAAAGCCCGGTCAACTGACACATATCAGGAGATAGGCTTCCCTCCAGATTGTTTCCTCGCAATCCCCTGGAAAAAAAATGTGAATCAATAAACATACACAAAATAGTTATAAATTCCAAGACTGGTGTTCCCCAAAACCTGCATTGGCATAATTCACAACAACTTCACTAAAAGGAAATCATCCATTACAGTGCACACTGTGCAGGGAGCCCATTCATCCCCGCACACTAAGGCTTCATTTGGGACGATTTTATATTTTTAGTATAATAATTAAAAAAATTTGTACTATAAAGCTGCTTTAAGAAGCAATGAAAAAGCCATCCCAAATGAAGCCTAAATATGCACAGCTGCAGATTTTCCATTTTGCACGTGTTAAGAGTTCTTCCCATATTCTAGACCAGGAAATGCCACTCACAGGTATTGCAATACTTCATTCCAATAAATAAGCCTGGGTATCTCCCCACTCAATTTATTCTGAGCCAAGTCCCTGTAACAGTAACAAGTAATAGAAGTTGGGCAAATTTTATGAGAACTGATCAGAATAAAGAAAGTGCTACGACGCATACAAAAATTTTAAATTTGGAATCTGTGAGAGCGTTGAAGGAATAGGACCAGTCAACTGATTGCTTTTCAAAATCCTGAAAAAAAAAACATGAAGCATTTACGTTACATAAAGACATAAAGAAGAGTCCATGGCATTTCAAATCAATGACTTACAAGCTTTCCAACTTCTTTAATTTTGATATTGAATAAGGTATATCCCCATTGATATTGTTAAATGACAAATCCCTGATGACAGAAAAAAAGGCCATAAGCTATAATCATAGTATATATGTTGAAAAGAAATGTAAATGAGGACTCACAATGTTTCTAATAAGGAACAATCACCAATCTCATCAGGGATTTGGCCCGAAAGTTGGTTCGATTTGAGGTCACTATTCAATCATAGAAAATGAATCAAGTTCCAGCTAAAGGTCAACAAGCCACAGAAATTTCAGATAATTCCGTAAAAAGTATCGATAAAACTATACAGTGTGACAAGGCTTCTGAGATTCCCTATTGCTGGTGAGATCTCCCCATCAAGATTTAAGCCAGAGAAATTGCTGAATTAAATTTAAAAAAAAAATTCAAAAGACCTCAATATCATTCAAAAGCTATTTCAGAAATGATAGAGAGGGTATTCTCACAGTGAAATAACTTCGAAGGTTATGTTGTCACAGGTTATCCCTCTCCAGAAGCAATAGTCTGAGGAAGCAGCACCAGTCCAATCATAGAGGATATCATCAACATTGCGGAACGACTTCTTGATTTCTACAAGCGTCAAACCTGAAAAGGAACGGACTCAAGAGCCATAAGCATAAAAATTTATGAAATCAGTAACTTTAGCCGATTTACACTAAGGCTTCGTTTGGGATGGCTTTTCACTGCTTCTTAAAGAGGCTATCTAGTACAAAAATTAAATTTTCTACTAAAAACAGCTTTAAGAACCAGTAAAAAAACCGTCCCAAACGAAGCCTAAATTGCATTGTGATGCTGATGTATTTGGTAGAAAAATCAAATACATTCATGAAACGGATATGTAATCGAATAGCTTGAAAGTTGATGTCACCCAAAATTCAAATTTAAGGGAACAAGGAATCTTCCTTTCTAAAAAAAAGGTTAAAGAACACAGTCATTGCTTTAACAATCAACTTCCACTTGAGATTAGCTTTAACAATCAACTTCCTTTTTTAGAGGGAATTGAGCTATGCCCGAGTTGAACTACATGACCAAATAAAGTAGCCCCCTCGTCGAAGAGGTCTCAACGGGCTACCAAAAACCAACTCAAAAAGGGAAACATGTAAACTTGTAAGTGTAAGAAAGATGAGAATGCATAAGAAAATAACTTGACTGGAATATGGGCAGACTGCAGAGGTCAAGAAAACCAACCATAGGTGATCCAAGTGATCATCAGATCACAAAGAACCTAACTAGTCCTCGTCATTTAAGCAAACAAACTAAAAAGCCAAAACTACAAAAATAACAATCAGAGATAAAAATTCAATTAAACAAAAAAACTCATTCAAAGCGGGCACCAAAAAGCAACCAAAATAGCCTTTCCCAATTACATAAAAGATTACTCAAACTATCCAATGAAAACAAAAATACGAAGGCAAAAGAAAAAAAGGGAAAACATGTAAACTTTTACATGTAAGTGATGTGAATGCATAGGCAAAATAACTAGACAAAGAATATAGGTAGAGGTGCATTTGTTCCAAGGAGAAATCACTAGTCAAAAAATAACTTACCATAGCCCAAATAAAAAAGAACTCATGAAGAGACACTTTTGACGAGACATGGTTGCAATAAGAAGGCAAGAGCACAAAACCAACAAAAGGTCAACTCAAATCCACCCTATGTGATCTAAGAAATTAATTCATAAGAATGGCGGATCACCCAAACAGAAAACAATTTATATTTCGACTTCTCAAAGCATGCCATCCCCCCCAAATGAGATCATTGTTACGCCCAGGCTAATGCTCAGGCCAGGCGGAAAACCAGGCCTAGCAGAAGATAGGAAAGAGGGGCCCAGCAGAAGATAGGAAAGAGGGGCCTTCAAGCCCCCTTGAGAGACCCAAAAAATATTTAATTAAATATATTATGAGGAGAAATAATGGGAAAGAGATTTAGGAAGATTTTAATTATAATTGGGTGAGAATTGATTTAGCAAAGAGATACAAATCAAATTTAAATTGAGAGGGGAATTAATTATAAAAAGGGGCTGGTTTAAAAGGAAAGTGGGAAGCCTGTTTAAGGCTAATTATATTGTATTTTCTATTTTATACCATGGATTTTCTGCTGTAGTTTTTCTTAAGAGTTTCCTGGTGGTGTCTAGGGCTTGTCAGAGAGCAAATCTACCTTCCAAATAGTAGATCAATTGTATTTTTTTTGTTATTTGTTGAAGGAGTAATAAAAATCAGCCCTCAAATTGTTTTCCAACAATTTCTTCTTTATTTTGTTGTTTTCGCTTCCAAAACCCATCAAATTGGTATCAGAGCGAGGTTTTGAAGAGATGGCATCATGGCAGTAAAGAAGGTCAATGCATTGGAAAGTGAATTCGAACAAATTACATACAGGATGGAGGAGAGGTTATCCACCATGGAAGGAAGGTTTTCAACCATACAAGCAGACCTTCGATTATTGAGGCTGAGGGGTTGAAGGAAACATTTGAGCAAGCATAAATAACAAAGGATTGAAGGCAGATCGAGAGAAGCAATATAAGGAGAGTTGCGGGAAGCTCTTACGGAAGTACCTCAACCTCATTAGCGTCGAGGACCTAGACGGTATCATTTTAGTGGGAGGCACCAAGGGAGAAGAACAGGAGAGCTCGTCCTAGGGCCAACTTCAAACGCCTTACAAAAATAGAGGTGCAGGACAAGAAAGCGAAAGGTCAATGTTTTCGTTGTAATGAGAAGTATGCACACTCCATGTCTTTTGTTGTGTGAAGAGGAAGAGAAATATAGTGAGGTCTTGGTGGAGGAAGTAGAAGAAGAAAGAGAACACCTTCACCTTGATGTGGCTAAAGTGTCCCTAAATTCTATGGGATTTGCTCTAAATCACGACATGAAGGTGAGGGGTCAAATCAAGGAGCATCCTGTGGTGATATTTGTCTATAGTGGGGTCATACATAACTTCTTCTCAAATCGGGTTGTGGACCAGTTGGGATTGAAGTTGGTGTACACAAGAAGCTTTGGAGTTGTGATGAGAACTAAAAATGTGGAGAGGAGTAGAGGGATTTGCAGGAAGGTGATGCTGACACTCCATGACATACAAATAGTGAAGGATTTTCTTTCCTTGGATTTGGGGAGCACAGGAGCACTTATTTTATCCTAGGGATGAAGTGGTTACAAATAATCGAAGAGACAAAGGAAAATTGGAAATCTCTAACAATAGAGATTTAGGTGGAGGGCAAGAAGGTCGTACTACGAGGACATGCTAGGCCATGCAGAACCACAATTTCACTAAAAACCATGGTCAAGGTGATCTAAGGAGCAGGACTAGACTACTTAGTTCAGCTATAGAGCCTGGAGGAGGTCCAAGCCTCAAAGCCGACGGAGGTTTCTAATGGTGTATAACAGTTCTGTAACAACTCTCTGAGATTTTTCAATTGCCTCGTAGATTACCACCACCCCAGGAGCACGAGCATGCCATTACCTTAAAGGAGGGAGCTTCTCCTATCGGTGCCAAATCATACCGATACTCGCAAATTCAAAAGAATGAGATAGAGAAGCTCATCAAAAAGATGCTTGAGGAAGGCATGTGAGCCCCTTTTTCAACCTTTCTTATTGGTAAGAAAGGATGATACTTAGAAGTTCTGTGTGGATTTTAAGATCCTAAATAAGGAAACTGTGTTGGACAAATTTTATATCCCCATGATCAAAGAGTTATTTGGAGCGATCATTTCCTCCAAAATTAACTTGAAGTTAGGATTGCCAGAACGAATTATCGGGTTCAACCCGAAATTGACCTAGGTCCAAAAGGGTTGGCCCTACCCGACTCGATTTTGTAAATGGCAGGAATTCTAACCCGGGTCAAGATTTATGACCCGAATCTAACACACACATGTTACCGGATTGACTCGACCCGATCTGGTTGATGAGCGATGCAGGAAAACTTGCAAATGACCAGTGCTGGTAGCTGAGTTGACTTGCAGACGAGAGCGAAAGGGCACTGAGTGTAAACGGTGCAGCAACGCGTGGAGATGCGGCAGCGGGCACAAGAGCGTCAGTGCGCAGGTGAGGCAAGGAGTGCAATACAAGGTTGGCAACACAAGAGGGCGCAGGAAATCGAACAGGTGCATGTGAGAATGCTAGACGGGGCGAGATTCAGGTCAATCCAATCCAAATTCAAGTCTTTGGGTTAACCCAAATCCTACCAAATTTTAAAAAGGGGTCGAGATATTGAACCTGAATCAGACTAGTTTGCCAAACAGGTTGACCCAAACCCATAATTTTTCAGGTTGAATTTGGGTCGGGTTTTAAGTGGGGTAAAATATTGACACCCCTACCTGAAGTCTGGATACCACCATATTAGAATGAAATCAAGAGATGTGCATAAGACAACTCTGAGAACTCATGAGATCATTACGAGTTTTTGTTGATGCCTTTCGGCCAGACCAATGGTTCAACCACCTTTCATTCCCATGAATCGGGTTTTTCAACCATACCTGAAAAAATTTGTTTTGATGTTGTTTTGATGACATACTGATCTATAATCGTATAGAGGCAGAGCATGTGGGCCACCTGAGGATTGTATTGGAGATTTTGAGAGAGCACTAACGATATGCCAACCTAAATAAATATTCTTTTAAATAGCCACGAATGTAGTACCTATAACAATGTGGTGAGCAAAGCAAGGGTAGCAACAAACCAGTCCAAGATTGAGACTATGCTAGACTGGCCTTCACATAAAAACATAAAGGAGTTGAGAGGGTTCTTAAGCCTCACTGAATACTATCAGAAATTCATGTGAGGGTATGGCACGATGACATAGCCACTGACAAGTATGGGAATGTTACTATGTCTCATCAGGAAAATCCCTCCAAAGGCCTCATCCCTTTTAAGAGAAGATCAGGAGACAATTCTCATCCTTCCCCCTTGAGGATAAGGTGCATCTTTGGGGGACAAGTATTGTTACACCCAAGTCAGGCAAAAGCCTTCTGCCCAATTCAGGACAATTGGGCCTAACAGAAGATAAGGAAGAGAGGGATTCAACTCCCCCCCCCCCTTGTGGGGCCCAAGAAAAAAAAACAACTATTATCAATATATCTCATTTTTTCTCCACATATGAAGCAAGCTCATAAGAACTGTCAGTCTGTATGGAATCTAAATGTGATGATCAATCGGGTTGTACAGCTACCTTGGATCTTAGTTCAATTTGTCCTGCTCGCTGGGGAGAGGGGGTAGGGTGTCCACCCCTTGCTTGGGTTAAACTTTTTTCGTATGTCCCGACGCTGTGTACCAGAGCACCCCAATGCTACAAATTTATTGGGAGGAATGACATAGAGCTTAGAACCACAATGCTCTAAATTCAACATCACAATGCTCTAAAGTCATCGTAACAGCGCTGTCAGAAGGACCAATGATAGAGGTCTGAGCGTCACAATGCTTCTAGACCAACCGGGTAGTTTTTCTCTTATTTTCTTAAGGGTGGCATCCATTGGTGTTGTTTACATGACTTTCTATTTCATTTTGTGTGAGATTGTTGTAAGAGTGAAGAGAAGCAAGGAAAGAGAGAGAAAAGAGACATTTGAACTTGTTTCTCCCAATTTTTATAGTGAATTTCATGGTGTGGTTTGGTTCCGTGATTTTTTTCCCTGATTCAATTTTTCCCCCATTAAATCCTATTTTCTTCCTATATTTGTTGCTTTCTATTTTTTATTTTGTGTTCATTGCGTGGTTTACATACACCACCAACAAAAACACCCAACAAAATCATTTGTTTTAAACAAATAATTAATACAAATATTCCAAGGTAGAGGCACTCACTTCAATCCATTTAAGTTTCACTTTTTAACTTCTAGGTTCTCTCATCATAGCCATCCTTCACATATAGCCTAGCTTGTTGCATATAGAGTTCTTCAAGAAAATCATTCAATAAGGCAAATTCAACATTATTTAAAAAATCTTCCATTGGTTTTGTACAACAATATATAATATCCATATAATAATTTTCTGGCATGATGACATAGCCACTGATAAGTATGGGAATGCTACTATGTCGCATCAGGAGAATCCCTCAACAGGCCTCATCCCTTTTAGGAGAAGATCAAGAGACAATTATCATTCTTCCCCCTTGAGGATAAGGTGCATCTTTGGGGGACAAGTATTGTTACACCCAGGTCAAGCAAAAGCCTTCTGCGCAATTCAGGACAATCGAGCCTAACAGAAGATAAGAAAGAGGGGGGTCAACCACCCCCCCCCCTTTTTGGGGCCCAAGAAAACAAAACAACTATTATCAATATATCTCAACTTTTCTCTACATAAAAAGCAAGCTCATAATAACTGTCAGTCTGTATGGAATCTAAATGAGATGATTAATCGGGTTGTACATCTACCTTGGATCTTAGTACAATTTGTCTTGCTCGCAGGAGGGAGGAGGGGGTAGGGTGTCCACCCCTTGCTTGGGTTAAACTTTTTTCGTACGTCCCGGTGCTGTGTACCAAAGCACCCCAATGCTACAAATTTATTGGGAGAAATGACTTAGAGCTTAGCACCGCAACGTTCTAAATTCGACATCACAACGCTCTAAAGTCATCGTTACAGTGCTGTCAGAAGAACCAATGATAGAGGTTTCAGCATCGCAATGCTTCTAGACCAACTAGACAGTTTTTCTCTTGTTTTCTTAAGGGTGGCATCCATTGATGTTGTTTACTTGACTTCCTATTTTATTTTGTGTGAGAATGGTGTAAGAGGTAAGAGAAGCAATGAAAGAGAAGAAAATAGACATTTGAACTTGTTTCTCCCAATTTTGAACCTAATTCAATTTTTCCCCCATTAAATCCTATTTTCTTCCTATATCTGTTGCTTTCTATTTTTTATTTTGTGTTCGTTGCATGGTTTACATACACTACCAACAAAAACACCCAACAAAATCATTTGTTTTAAACAAATAATTAATGTTAATATTCCAAGGTAGAGGCACTCACTTCAATCCATTTAAGTTTCACTTTTTAACTTCTAGGTTCTCTCATCATAGCCATCCTTCACATATAGCCTAGCTTGTTGCATATAGAGTTCTTCAAGAAAATCGTTCAATAAGGCAAATTCAACATTTATTTAAAAAATCTTCCATTGGTTTTGTACAACAATATATAATATCCATATAATAATTTTCACACATGCAACAAGAGCAAATACCTCATCATAATTGATACCCATTATTGCTTGTAGTATTTAGCCACCAATCTTGCCTTAAATTTTTCCACATCTCCATTAGTTTTCTTCTTAACTTTAAAAGCCAACTACACATCAATATCTTCATGCTTCCTAGAAGTGTGAGAAGTGCCAATTTCTCATTTTTCTATGAATTTGATGGTCTCATCCAAAAAAGTTCTATCCTTTACCAGATAAGTGATGTAATAAGAAATCGATTTTTAGAATAGCAACAAGACAAATGAGATTAAGCACATTAATTACATAATAAGATCTCTTGCAAACTTCAAGTTTTTGTTACCCCTTGAAATATCTTCCAAAGTTGCATGAAATGTGCGATGTAGGATCTTGCCCTTTGGTTGTGATCTTCTCTTCTATATGCAGTAATTAAATAGAATGTCCTACTTGCTTTTTCATGAACTTTGAATCCTCCTTAAGTTGGTAAGAAAGACCATTAGCATGAAACATAATGGCCATATTTCTTGTACTAACAATATTGGATCATTTAATTGCCATATATGTATTCTTCCCTGTCCATGTACTCCTCAAGGACTTCGATTTCTTTCATCATAATTATATCCTCCACATCGTTGATCATGTCCAGGGCATTTTCTTGGCCATGACCGTGATCTCTTTGGCTTTTTCCTCGTTTATGTTTTAAATTTTGTCTGCCTCCTTCAAGTAAATTTACCTTTGAAGAACTGCTCTTGCTTACTTTATTAGTAACGAACTTATAAACTCATCAATTTTCATGGTCTCAATCCTTTAAATCTTCAACATGTTGAAGTTGCTATGGAGTTGAACTTACAGTTAGTGTAAACTATACAGCATGAGAAGAAAATGAGCTATCCTATTTGAACTGAAAACAGAGTATTACCCTTGCTCTATATATTCAATTCATTACAGTAAAGGCGGGGTAAGGATAAGGTGTGATGCCTTAACCGCTCTACAGCCTAAACGTAGCAGAGCAACCAACCATTTCTTATCCGGCATCTATTCCTTTGTGGTCTGTTCATGAGATGGATGCCTTCTTTGATAAAAAAGATTAAAATTTCTGAAAGGGACAACGAAACAGAACAAACAGCTTCAATACTATAATAAACCAACCAAACAAAAATGATTGGAGGTAAGCAAGCAAAGCAAATTTTAAAAAAGACAACGCTTTTCCTATTTGCTTAAAAAATCAAAGTGTGGAGGATAGAATAGAGAGAAAGATCTATGGAGCCCCTATTAAAATACTAAATAAGATACAGTAGCAGAATAAGTAGTATTATTATAATGAAAACAAGAAGTAAATGGCGGCTCTGCACTAAGTCCGGAGTCCGGAAATATAAAATACCGAGGCAGAAATAAACAAAGAAGAAGTCGTAGCTCCGGCGACCCACCGTCGTTTCCACCGGTTATTCCGCCGCAGAAACAGAAACCCCACGCAAGAAACAGAGCCAGAACAAATGACAACGACCACCTCCTTCGCATTGCGTACAGCCACTAAACGCGCGCTTGGAAGCGTCGCAGCTTCAAAGCTCTGGAAGCTGGAGTCGCCTCTGGTTAAGACTGAGGAGAAGAACGGTCACACGCAGTTTGAGTGAGAAAGAAAGAAGAAGCGATGACTACGAAGAGATTTACTCGCATACTCGTATTGTCACATCGATGTGGCAGTGCCTTTTATCACAGGCCCATACAGCTAACCTGCAGCTACCAGCTACTTCCCGTCCCTGTAGCTACTTCTCCAACTAAAATGCATAACTTGCTGAGCTCCATTTTATCCCTCCAAAGATCCGACCTTTAAATGTCTCCTATCTTTCTAGCTGCAATATCTCTCTAACAATTCATTGCTCATCACCTTCCACTATAGACTTCTTCCGCATGAACTTAATAAGAGCTTCCTCTACTCCCGTAGACATGATTACTCACTTATTCTCCCTCACCATCAACTTTCTCTTACTAGAGGTATGCATTTCTCTCACTAAAAGTCTCTCTGTCTCTATAAAGGAAGAGCAGTTTGCAGTTGCAGGCATGGGGGTGGCAGAGGACAGACATTAGCCTTTTCAGCCTCGCTCTCCAAATGATATTAGATAATCTCACTCTCTTTTGCTTAATACTCAGCGGGTGCAAATTTATCAGTGTGGGTGTAAGCTTCAATAAAAAGGCGTGATCTTATCTGCAGATCTACCGAGGTGCGACGAAACGTGTGGGAAACGGTTCGCGTTACCAAGCTAGGAGGTAAAGATAAATAAGCATTTATTGTTCAGAATTAATTCGAAATTGCTTGTTTATTGATTTTCTTGAAAATAGGTATTATTGTAATTTAAACTAATTAGAAAATATTAGTATACGTAAATTTTATCCGAATAAGAAAATATTATTTGTGAGAGTTTTCAGGGTGTTTATCTTAAAAAAATAATTTTCATAAATTTGATAATATTAAAATAATTTTATAATTAGTTAGTTTAATAATAAAAAAGAGAACTAAAATTTCTAAAAAACGATTTTATAAATTTTCTTCTCTTTCTTAAAATAATAAATTTGTTCACACTTAATAATCTTTTTCAAAGAGTTATAATTCTTATAATATTTTAGATAATAATTTTAACACTGATTGACTTAATAAATAAATAAAAAATAAATAAAAAACTAATTGACTTAGTAATAATTTAATTTAATATATTATATTATTCTAGACCGTAGATGTATGTTATGGCTCAAGATCTATAGTTTTAAAGAAGGATTTTTCAAAAATTAATAAAAATATATTGTGGATATTTAGTCAGTTGATTTTGTTCAAAATAAATATATTTCAATAAAAGTTATCACTTCAAGCAACATTATTACTATATACACACATATATGACAGGGCGTCGCCATTCATACGCATCAACTTAGCTATAGAAAAGCATCCATCGTAGAGGGTTTCAGCTCGCTCATCATAGTTAGCCAACCATAGAGTCCGTCATCATCGCAACCTAAATGCACGTGCCACGAAACTCTTTGGCAATTTGAAGCTCCACCACATTTCATCAATGACATTGGGATGTTAGCTGGTTAGGGCATGTCCAACCGAAAATCTCATTTTTCACTCCAAAATACAGTGAAACCAAAAAATGACGTGATTCGTCTCCAATCGAACGTCATTTTGCCCCGTAAACCATCGTTCTCTTCATTCGCGCCTTTCTTCCCAAAGTTCGGTAGAGATAAAAGAATTGTGCAGATGAACAGTGCAACGCCAATATTGGCGTCGCACTGTTCATCCGTGATCAAATGACATCAAAAATGACAGTCGGTTGGAGCAAAGCAAAAATGACAAACACTTGTTTGTCGTTCTATTGGAGTTGCCCTTACAACCTTTTGGCCCAGCTCCCTCCAAACTAACTAGTCTACCCCTACTTGCTCTTAGGCATCGACATTACGGAACTGACCTATGACAGAAAAAGCAGAATCAAGTAAAGCAATCAACCATCAAATCAAAGGGAGTGCGACATGTGTCTAAGACAGTTTGTACTTAGAGTATTAATATATGTATTTTAATTTCTTTATTGGTGAAACATTTTTTGTAGCCATCTTATTTCTATTAAAAAAGAGGTGAAGAGTAATATTTTGGAGGATGTTTGTAACTTTTTGGCATTTTCTATGGATATTTTATTTGATTGCTTATTTCCCACATAATTGTCTCTCTATATTTCTCTATTTGTCTATCTTCTCACTAGTTCTTGGGTCGTACTCAATGAGCTCGCCTAATGTTGTTAGTAAGGTTAGGTATCATTCACGGATAAGCTTAGAACCAACAATAAAATTGACAAACTTATTTTGAGATAATAATATAATTTGTAGATGTGGTTATTTACATGGGTATGTTAGGAAGGTCGATTTTTTTTTTATAAAAGCTAGAGTTTGTTGAAATGGAAGTTAGAAATTTTATTTCTAATTATACAAAAAAATGATAATATTGTAGTTGCATGCTATAATATTCGTAGTGGCAGAGTGAAAGATTAGTATCTTGATTTTGTATGAAGATCATACGCTATATATAAGAATATTACAAATGACATCATTTTTTTATGTAGAAAATCCTAAAAAAAGGGAAGAACTAAAGGGTCTTGCTTAGTTGAAATATTTTCACTAATGTATGCCGTATATTATGAATGATATCCTTCTACTTAATTTGCGAAAGCTTTGATACAATATGGCAGGTATAAACTATAGATGATGACTTTTATGGTAGAAGTTGGAAGAGCTTTAAGGTATTGGAGTAGTCTCTAAGGGATTGTTTTTTATCATTCTCTTTTTATGAGAGGAAATCAAAGACCATGAAATTTAGTATGATTCATTATTTAATATTAAATGTTAAAGTTTGTGGTGACATCATTCTTTATCTTTATTGGTGATGACATACATCAATAATATTGGCAACAATAGATGATGAGCTAGTCGACATCCACATTGGTGATTATAAACATTGTTGGTGACAATATGCAATGAAGTTAATGGGTGTATGTGTTTTTGTGTTGATGGTGTGCATCAATGTTGGTAGTGATTATGAGGTGTGAAGCAAGTGAATGTCGTCATTTGTGTTGATGGTGACCATCAGTTTTATAGTTGATGTCATACATTAATGTTATTAGTGACATTGTGTTATGATGCTATTCGACGCAGGTGCTTATCCCAAGAGTGTAGATCGACCTAATAGGAGAGGTATGCATTGATATTATTGGATGATGGTGGTATTTGGACATAAGTTGTGACTCCATATGATCTAATAGAATAATTGAATGTCTAATTTTAAACTTTAACTCAACCTCAACAAAATAAATTAGTTGATTCTTAAATTCAAAGCAATATTACCAATAAAATATTATTTCATTTTCATTGTTATATATATATATATATATAATTCAGTTTATGATGAATCTAAACGTCAAAATAATTCATACTATATTACAAAAGAATTTCTTAAGTATTTAGAGGATTATGGATCTACCTTCCTCTATTTCATTGATCTCAAATCACATAATCAATATCAAATTAAAATACTGATAGCAATTTGTTTAAATATTCAATTAATTATTAAAGAATAAATAAAGTCTAGTAAAATATAATTAATTTGAGTTATCAAAGTGTGCTTAATTTCATGGTCATCATTTGTACTTTTACAACCCACTTTCAAATAAATATTAGAGATATTAAATGATACTAGTTATGAGAGGTTCACTTGCAAATAACTTTTTTATTTCATATGAGTTCATACAAAAAATTAGGGATGATCAGAATTAGTTCAAAATATCATTTATATTCAATTTATTGGAGTTATCAGAATATGTAATGAATCAGTATAATGCACGTCCTAATGACTATTTATGTCTCAACTTTTACTTATAGCTCCTCTTAACCTCCCATATCCGAATATTGCAAGTGGGATCAGAACATAATAGAATAACATCCCATACTTGCTTTTAATAAGTGTGGTCAAAATCTCTTTCGCATCCACACAAGACAGATAGGATCAAAATAGAACATGCAAGCCACTTATATCATTTCAAAGAATGTACTTATCATATTATATAATTAAGAGCTCCTCTAATATTATGCCATGAGTTATGCTTTCTAAATGCAATAATAAGTAATAATAACTTTAACAAATAATTATGATGATGCTTGAAGTACCAAAATCGTCTATGGTAATTCATGTTGCATGTATACAAATATGTCCACTAGACTTTTTTATTTTAATTATAATTTTAGAAGAATATTCAGAGTGGTGTTTTAAGCCTTCTTAAATAACTATTACAAAAATCAGAAATGCCTCATTTATTTAATACGCATAATATTCGGTGTTGAGAAAACTAACCGGTAAAAATTCAATTTTTTATAGTTAAAATATTTAAAATAAAGCATTCAACAACATACTAAAAATTACATGATTAAAATGTCATAAAATAAAAATAAAAACAAATTTTAAATCACATCTTTTATAGAATTTTTTGTATTTAAAATCAAATATAGTAGTAAAAAATATGCATTGTGCTCTATGAAATCCCTAACTAGCCTGACGGATGATACCTGAATTTTGACCTCTGGATTCTCTCCCTTTCTTTCTCTCGTGTGGGGGGGGTTAGGGTTTAGGAATGACTATAGTTAAGAGATTATATGGATATTATATTTTCATTTTGCAAAATCAATTTACAAGAACTTAAACAAAGATTAGATAACATCAAGAACTTAAGCAAAGATTAGATCGATGTTATCTTTTCAAATACAAATAAAGTTCCTAATCTTAAAGATATAAGGAATGAAATAACTAATCATTCTCTTCTTTTTTTTTGCAATTTAGGGATGACTATAAATTTTTATAAACATGTTTTTAATTTTTTTTTGAGAAAAATAACTTTTTTAAAAGCTATAATAAAACAACAACAAAAAACGGCTGCCAAACATCATCTCATTTTAAAAAGCTACAATAAAAAAAACGGTTGTCAAACATCATCCCAAATAAATTCTTATTATGCAATATCATATAAATTAGTGGTTTCGTTTAGGACTATTTTCTTACTGTTTCTTAAAACAATTTTCTAGTAAAAAAATTAAAATTTTTGTAATAAAAAACTGCTTTAAAAAGTAGTAAAAAAGTCGTCACAAACAAAGTCTGAATATTATAAAATGAAAAAAATTAAATTTATGAAATTCAAAAATTTGAAATATATTTCAACAAAAGAAACAAATATTAAATCTTTTTATTTTTGTAGAGAGATTTCAACTTTAAATGTGGTGGGGTCAGATGTCAGTATGAAAATAATCATACCCTCTGCTTGTAAATCTCCACCGCACAATATTAGTTGGGCCTAACATACAAATCTGTCAAACTCAGCGCTTAAAAAGCCTAAGCCTATCACGTGATGGATACATTCCAACAATGCGCCAATGCTTTGGCAGCGACGTTTTGTTTTGTATTTTAAAATTTTTTTCCTTATTTATTGTTTTTAAAATTTAATTTTAATTTATATACAAATTATATTTGAAATTTTGGATATATTTGGGCAGCTTTTTCATTATAAACACATTTGTTTGATTATTAATTTTTTTTTTAATTATGATAAGAAAATGCTTTTAAGAAACAGATATTCTGAAACGTAATATCGGGAAGAAATCTATTATTGTTTTTTTTAATTATAATATATGGAAGAAAATAATTAGAG